TCTTTGTAAGCAAGTAGCAAAATGAGACTCATCACACCATCTATACTTCAGAAACTGATCCAATTACCAATATCGACGCTCAAATCCCTATATAATTCGGACGTTAATATGTGATTGTAAGAGCATTTTTTTCTGCGCGGCTATATAGGTCTTTACACTAAAATCCTTCATATTCTGTTGAATTACACGTTCGCAGCCATTAGTTATACCAATTGTCCTTGCCACCTTCAAATGACTTGACGAAGCAAAGCCAAAATTAGCATCTTCAACGGCCTCAATTGCTTCGCACTCATGTGGAGCAAGTACTCGTTTTCGGCCTCGATTGTGTATCCTCTTACTGCGGCGCGCAGTTGCTTCTTTAATGATTCGATAGCCAGTTGATTTAGGTACATTATGTATCTTAAATAGCTCTGTACGAGGTATTTTGCCAGCTGTGTGGCGTGCATCAGCAAGGAGGCGCGCACGGCGCGGCGTATCGAGCATCGTTTTTGGCGTTCGCAAGGGTGCAGGAGAAGGAGGATCTATCGAATAAGACTTTCGGCAGACGCGTCGTCTATTTCCCCGTTCAGAATCCATTGTTCACTAGATTTGAGTGAGTATTGGTAGAGAAATAGGGGAATGAAGAAGGGGGGGAGAGGAAGGGGATCTGAGAAGTCCCATAAATTTCTGCGCCAAGCTTCGGCCCGAGGGCCACTGACAGGATTGGTTCCACACTTCGGCATGCCCACAGTCGCAAGGGACGGTTCTAAATCTCCATGCTACGCTTCTAAGTCATACCATCAGACCAGTTGAGAATGAGTTTATGCTCCTGCTGATTGCAACAACGTGATTCTCGCTACTCGAGCACAATCTTTTCATGGCAGTTTCAACTAATCTGTATTGAGAATAAACCCCCAGTGAGCAGATTGATGGACTTCTTTCTGCGGTCTATGGGACACAATTCAATCAAATTTGGTCATACTGAGCCTTCCCTTGAATCGAAGCAACTACAGAGAAAGCCGACGTCGACATCCAAGTTATGCTCGATGACCAAGGAGACTTACTGTCATGACATAGGCGACCGTTGGAAAATCATTTCCAACCCTACCAGCAGTCCGAGCCCAACCCTTTCTTCTTACAGTGTGTATCGAAGAAGTCAGCATTTGCTGTCCAAGACTTCAATCCGAAGGTTGTGCTGTAATTCTTGTTGTTTGGTGTCAACGAGCTTCGAGCTCACCCTTTCTTGTGGCGCGTCGTCCAACGACTGGAGTGCCTATATCCACATCGACATGTAGGTGGCAAAGGGGGCTCATGCAGAAATGGAAGAATTCCGTCTAGGAGAATATGGTAAGAAGAGCATTCATGACCGTCGATCGCAGTTAAGAAGCCAAACCTCTTTCTGATAAGAATATGAACATGAAGACAAACCTTGTTGCCCAGGTTTAGTCTGCAAAGTTATACCTAAATGCTCACATTGTGGCCGCAAAAGCCTTTGCTTCCTCCAAACGGTGCTTCAGAACATCTTGGGAATATGGACACTGGGCAGGTGATTTGTTCAAACGCCGAACTTGCCTTGAAAATGGAAACCTCGGTTCGCGCCTTCACAAGACAATGACCCAATTGGTTGTGAACCAAAGCTGTTGTATGTTCTTGAGTTAGCAAGGTTCATTGCCTAGATTGCCTACCGGTGTCAAGAAGCGCCATAATTGTGTACGAACAGTCTTCTTGTAACCTGCACAGCGGCTAGTGTCAAGCCAGACTCGTCTTTCCCTTCCTCTACTAATTGTAGAATATAGATTGCCTGCTTCTCGCCTGCTCTCTCACTCGACATTCTTTGGTTCCCAACTGAGTTTCTTTGCCCTTTCCACACACGTTCCTTCTGGGCTAGCACTGAAAGACTTGATTTCAGGATTATAATTGCAGCCTCTGTGCAAGGGTCGAGTGTTCAAATTGTCCATTATGGTATATGAGTAAGGTGTGAGGTAGGTGATAGTCATGTTTGAATGCATTGACTACGGCAAGAGTAGGAGACGGGAACTTCAAAAGCCTCTAGGACCAGAATACTTTTTGACACTGTCCTTGAGGGAAGCTGCATTAATTATTCTGCAAATTCTGTATGAAGGCCTCTGTTGACGCTTTGCTTTGCTCAACCTGGCCTTCCTATCTGCTGATCTTAGGGAGCTGCGGTAAGGTTGTGAAATCAAGCTGTCTAAGCTGGTTTCTGGGCAGCAAGTAAATGCTGCTATCGGTCCGGTTGTCGAAGGTTGTGCGTAGAGCTCAATTAAGCCTAGGTATGGGCTTCCAGGCATTTGCTTCTGCAATGGTGATTTTCGCACCTTCTTACATGCTCATGTTGATCCTTCCAACCTCGATAGATATGCTTTCCAACCCGCGTCGCGATATGCTTTTGCTGAGGCAACAGGATCGCTTCCGGAATAAATGCCACGTCCCACAATCAAGAAATCTGCCCCTCGTTCCATCGCGCTCGCAGGACTCTGATATTGTTGGCCAAGCGCGTCACCTTTACTGGAAATGGAGATGCCGGTGGTAAAGATGAGAAAATCTTCTCCTGGCACAGCTTCATCGCTTCTAGTGTCAGCAGACAGTTGCCTGGTTGCGACAAATCCAATCACGTGCTCTTTATGTTTCCTTGCAATTTCGACAGAAGCCTTCGTGTATTCACCTGTTGCCAGAGACCCTTTCGAGGTCATCTCTGCCAGTATTAGGATGCCTCTGTCACGCTCCTCCCCATTCTCAATGGTTTGAGAAAGTGCATCTATTATGCCTTCGCCAGCAAGCACGCTAGCATTGATGATATGCGCCCAGTCGTAGATCCTCAGTGCTCCTCCACGGTACTGCTTCTGAACAGTATTACCGATATCGATATACTTGCGATCCTCAAAGATAAGGAAATTGTGCTTCTCGGCCACTCGTTGTAGCTGATCAGTCGTGTCGGAAGTGAAGTCCGAGATGATGTCAATATGAGTTTTGAAAACAGCAATATAGGGTCCCAAGGCTGCGAATGAGCCGGAGTTAGCTAGCAAGGGCAGGGTGGAGGGTAATGCTGTTTACAATAGAAGTCCAGGGGGAGATGAAAGTCAGTTGGCTGAGAGGGGAAAGAATTGCAAAGCACTGCCGTAAGGAGGTCCTACCTTCTGCAATCGATAGAAGTTCTCTGGTTGTCGTCAGATCTGCAGATACGGTGATATTGGTCTGCTTGGTTTCCGCAATAGCAAACAGCCGCCTAGCAAGCGCATTGGGATGACATTTGGCTCTTTCACCATGTGATACCGAAGACCTACTAGTCATGCTGTTGGATATGCGTTGTTCAATTTCTTACCCAGGGTTGAAAGTTATCGTGTGTCAAACGTTCCTGGCCCGGAAAGACTCTCGTATCGCTCGGCCAATTAGCCACGTTTCGGGCAGGGGAAAAAGTGGCGGTCTTGGTGGTCTTTTGAGGCACAACTCCCGCGAAAACCTTCAACCCTTGTTCTCCGCCACACGTAGTATCACTCCTTATACATCCCACTCGTCTCTCTCCTCGCTGTTGGGAGGTGAGGGGTCTTTTCTACAGAGCTTACAATGCAGTAGTGGTCTGATATCAACCCAACAAACTACATTTTGTACCATGGATCATGTTTTAATGAATACTGAGGCAGACGGACGAACGCTCATAGCAAGGCCTCCCTGACAACTCCTTTACCTCTTCCGCGGCCTCTGCACGCAGCATTGATATTTTTTGACGAAGGCAATGGCCTCTGTCCAACGGGAAGAGTCCAGCGACACAAACTCAACTGTACCAACTAGTCCGAACATCCGTCATGAAGTGGAGCGTCCAAAACACACCAACGCATCTAGCCCCCAACCACATGCAACCCGTCGAGCTGGCAATATACCTCCCGACTCCTTGGATAACTCAGGCTCGAAGTCGTCTAGCCAGGAGCGACCGCCGATCCGAGAAGCGTCTCCTCTTCGACCGCAGTTCAAGGCACCGGCTCATGGTACCTCAAGGTCAAGGAAGAATAGTCAAGATTTGAGTCCTACCCGCAATGCCGTTAACGTCTTCCCGAACCCCATCCCTTCAGCAGCTGCTGTTCAGAGAGCATTATCGGCCAACAAGCTGCTGCCACAATCACCTGGAATAGACACTGCATTTGAAAGTCGCAATCCGAAGTCTACCGACTCGACACCACGGTGGCCCATTTCGCCCAGATTGACGTCCCCGCCTCCGTCAAGCGCGCAACGGAACTCGATACATCCAGTTAGAAAGCAGGACAACGAAATGGCGGCTCCAAATTCATCACAAAAGAGGCTGTCGGCATCTGTTCCTGACCTTTCCATAACTGTTGGGAAACCTTTACCAGAAAAGGAAGACAACGCTACATCACGTACGCCTCTGAAGACACCTGCTCGTGGCGTCAGCGGCGTTACTGCAACCTTGGAAACTGTTGCAGAGAACAGCGTCCCAGATACACCGTCTATTATACCACCATCTGCGCGGTCTACTGTATCTAGCCCACAAGAATACGCAGACTCTCAAAACGATGAGCCACAGGAGGCTGTTCAGTCCAAGGCAGCGAAAGGGAGTGGGGAGAGCGAGAGTGATGGCGGAGGGGCGAAAACGAAAGCCGAAACCTTGCCGAAGCCAGGCAACGCAGTTGGCAGCAAACCCATTTCGAATCTAGCCAAGAGATCTTTGACAAATCTGGTACCTACTAAAAACAAAGTTGGTGAGCCGCCTACACGCAGTATGACTGTTGAGACCGAGACGGTTAGCTCTGTACCTCAGGCACCACTCAATGTGACTGGCGATCGTGGGGCTTCTGGAAAGCTTGACGTCAACGGGAGTATTCGTTTGAAAGCCAGCAATGAGACGATGAAGCCGAAAAAGGAGAGGAAAAAGAATCCTCGTCGGCCAACGTCAATAAACACTGGAACGAGTACGTAGCGATTCGGTGCCCTTCTCTGTTCTATGCTAACGAAACCTAGTCTCCTCCAAGGCAGATATCTTCGAGGCTAAAGTAGCCAGTGCGGTGGACGAAGCGAATTCTTCCGACTCAGATGAGACATTTGTTTACGAGTCAAATCCACCAGAGCCCTACGTTCCTCGTTCAGCTCGCCATCATTCAAGAACCCCTAGCGCAACCTCTTTAGCTAGCACCATCGATCAGTACGGTGGCCGCAATAAGTCAACCGGGAAGGACGGCCAGCATAGCGTCGCGGGTAAACGGAGCATGAAATTTGCAAACTACAACGCCAACCTGGATGGCGACTACGGCAGCCAAGGCACTGGCAGAGGAGGTGGCAGAGCGGTCAGCACGCCCAGACATCATCACATTAGTCGACATTCGCGCGGTCCAAGCCATGCAGGCCTGTTCGATGGCGATTCTCCCTTTACTCAAGCCAATAAGCCTTCATCGCCACGTGTGCCGACAGGGAAAACCTATCCTAATAGCACCCACTTCGCAAAAGCCCGCACAACGTTAAGCCCTCGAAAAGCGGAAGCTTACTCATATGACGCAGACGAAGGCGTTGCCGACGACGAAAGAATGCCTCTGATCGGATCAGTTAGAGTCAATCGGGCTCGCCATGCCAGAAAGACTAACAATGGCAGCTTGCGGCAAATTGATTACTTTGAAGATCAGCAACCGAGCTTTTTCTCACGTCACGGTGCTTGCTTTTTCGTCACGATTCTGTTTGTGTTCCTGTGCATGGGCGCAGGCAGCTTCATTATGGCACTATCAAGACCCCTAATGGATGTTTCAATCAAAGAGATCAAGAACGTTCTCGCCACCGAACAAGAGCTCATGCTCGATCTCAGTGTACGGGCAATCAACCCCAATCTCTTTGCGATCACTGTCAGCGAGTTGAATATCGACATCTTCGCCAAAAGTGGATTTGCCGGAACTGCTGCTGAATGGCGACAACACATGTCTGGCTCATCGATTAGAAAGAAAGGGCGAAGGAGAAAGACCAGCGATTATTCCAGAGAGGAATTCAAAAGCGCTGATGGAGTTGACGAAGGGAACGATCCCATTGAAGATCCCGGATCCGACCCCCAAACCATGGTGCTAGGACGAATATACGAATTCGACTCGCCTCTTGTTTTTGAAGCTTCTCCCATTCGAAGGCAGTACATGTCGTCCCTGGGCGAGATTCGACTCACCCAGCCGGGGAATAAGACCGAAGAAGGCGGATCCGCGAGATGGGAAAGGGTGATTCAGCATCCTTTTGAGTTGATTATTGGTGGTGCTGTTAAATACCAGTTACCTCTTTCGTCCAAAACGAGATCCGCATCTGTGAGATCGAAAATAAAGGTCAGCGCGAAGGATGCAGAGGGTTCTCAAGCAGCTTACGCACCAGAAGACCTCGATCTGCTCGAGAAGTGAGGGCAAGTATATACGACATTCAGCAGGAGTTTACATGTGTACGTTGCTACCCATAAAACTCCTGTTACGATTCCCCTTTGTCTGCGGAAATGATCAGATGCAAGCGACAAGATACCCCCGGGTCTGAGACTGGAAGCTCGGGCTATAGATTGGTCACCAGCATGTGGTTAGTAATTGCTTTCACAAGCGAGGCGTTGTCATACTCTGATTAGACTGGGTCCATACTGGAAAGCCTTTCTTGATGGCTGTATACCATTACTTAGCAGTAACAATTATACTGATACTATGACAGCAGAGTAATTCAGTACAACAAATTGAGCAACCAGAGCATTGACTCGCTGCTTAGTCTTCACAAATCTTCATAATACGGCCCTGGTTCACATGATCTTGCAACCATCGAGGCCTGATACTATTGGTTGGTAGGTGACCTCTGGCACCATTGCATACACCCTTTTAGGTGATAGATAAGCGTGCGTACTAATCACCTGACGTATTGCTTTGCGCCTCTCAAATGTGGAGCCCTTCGGGAATAGGCACGCAAGGTGGACAGGCTCATAAATTGGTGAACTTCCTTCTAGAAGACGCTGCGCTCCATGACCAGCTGAAGTTCAGGCTGCACGGTAGAATTTGAAACACGTCACTGGGGCGAGTGTTGCGGAGTTTGACATTCGAGGCGTTCCACAATTCGTAGGCAGCATATTATTGGCTCAACCTATGCGTGCCAACGGCTGAAGTGTTGGCACAGAATACGTGGAACAGGGAGCAGGGGTCATCTCCTGCGCCCGATTTGCCCTTCAAACTGGAGTGAGGGGCCAAAAAAGAATAGTTAGGACTCCGCCCAAAGAGGTGTCAAGTGGCATCATCCCACTCTAGAGTTGAACTTAACTGCCTCCAGCCACATCGTTCTCGACCTCACTTTCAACCTCTGCTTCAAGTCCATCAAGCCCATCAAGCCAAATTTAAAACATCATTTTCATTTGCTGATGACTAAAATCTCATTGATCCCGACCATTCCACCCGTCTTTTATCAAGGCTAGCTCAAACCTACGACCCGAATCTCAAGCCAAGAATCTACCTTAGCCTTATCACCATGTCGGTGATCTATCGTGAGCGAGAACGTGAGCGAGAGCGAGAGCGAGAGCGCGATAGATACGATGACTCGAGATCCAGCATTTCTTCTTCTCACCGCGGAGGCAATTACACCACCGTCAAGCGATACAGGGTAACTGATGACGATGCTCATTCTACCACCTTCGATGGCAGGCGCTACGGTGCTCGGGACCCCCCAGCTCGTGTCGAAGAGACAAGAATAGTGAGGAGGGAGCGAGAAGAACCGGAGCCTCGACCAGAACGGGTAGAAGCCAGTTACACTCGTCGCGAGCGAGTCGAGCGAGTGCCAGATGCCCGTTATGAGGATGATATCGTCATCCGTCGCACCAAAGAGATCGACGAGCCTCCTCGACGAGAATACAGAGCTCCACCACCCCCAGAAACCGTGACTGATAGAGAGCTCGTCATTCGACGGACCGCTGAGAAGGACGGATTTGAGCGTGACAAGAATTTCCAAGTCGAAAGATACGAGGATCGTCGAAAAGAGTTTCGTGACTACGAAGTCATCTCTCCTTCCCGCGAAGACTTTGGAGATTTGCAGAAGTACTCAAGAACCGCCGAGTACTACGCTCAGCCAAATGCACCCCAGACCATCGTTATCCGTAATGAACCCATTATTATCCGTGAAAGAATCCGCGACGATGACTACGCCTTGATTCACCGATCAGAAATCGAGGAGAGGCAGATCTCCAGAAGAGAACCATCGCCGCCCAAGAAGGAAGAATTCTACTATGAGAAGAAGACCGTGGAGAGGGACCCCAGATCAGTCGAAAGAGAAGAAGATTTCTACGCCCGGAGGGAGGTTAGCCCTGGCGACTCCATCTCTCAAGTTGGTGTCGGCGTTCGTCGCCGTTCACGTTCTCGAGGTCGTTCTCGCTACTCTGATAGTGATGAGAGCATGGTCTATGTGCGCAAAGAGGTCAAAGAGGTCAAAGAGACCAGCCGAAGCGAAAGCCCGAACCATCGTCGACATCTTGCTGAAGGTGCACTTGCGGGCTTTGGTGCTGCGGAGCTCATGCGCCATCACAAGAAGAGCCAAGGGAAGGAGACCTCGGGTCCTATTGCAAGACTGGGAAAGGACGTTGGTGCGGGCGTCCTGGGAGCTGTTAGTGCTACCGCAATCTCCAGAGCCAGAAGCCGACATCGCAGCAAGAGCCGTCGACGAGAGCGCTCGGAATCATCTGAAAGGAGTGGTCGTCGTTCACGACGTCACCGCAGTCGCAGCCGCAGCCGCTCCAAGTCTCGCTCTGAATCTCCCGCCGGTACAGCCGTTGCCGTTGCTAAAAGGAGGAACAAGAATGAACCCGAAGACCGTCGCAGCAGGTCGAGACAACGAAGACATTCAGCCTCGGAGGCCACTGATGATGCTCGCAATCCCGCTCACCGCAACAAACGTATTGCCGAAGCTGGGGCTGCTGGTGCCGCTATTGCAGGTCTTATCGAGCGTGCTCGCAGCAAGTCACGCAAGCGCGAAGGCAATGAACGTTCTCGCAGCAGGATTCGGACTGGTCTGCCTATAGCAGCCGCTGGTTTGGGTAGTGCGGCAATTGCTGGGATTTACGAACGCAACAAAGCCAACAGGCAGGATGAAGCAGCCATCGCTGCTGAGAGAAGGAAATCCAGGTCACGATCACGTAGCCATGCACGGTCTGCGTATGGTGAGGCACCACGTGGAAGTATTAGCGATCCAAATCTCATTGAGTATGGTAATGGCCCGATGTATGGCAACATCCCACAAGCCGATTATTACGGCCGTCCTGCTCCTCATGACCCATATCATAACGAAGCAATGGTACCAGCAGCAGCAGCTGGGGCTGCATACGGCGCACATAGAGAGGCACGACGAAGCCACAGCCGTGATCGACGTCCGTCAAGTAGCGAGGGCTCTGATGATCGTAGACGACGCAGACATCACAGACATAATAGAAGCCGGTCCAGGGACATTGCAACCCCGGCTCTCGCAGCTATTGGTGGAGGCATTGCAGCGACCGAATATGCTAAGAGAAAGGAGAAGAAGAAGGCGGAAAAAGCGCGAAGACGTATGTTACACCCATAATTGGCTGATACCTCTCTGACTGCAGATTTAGGCTATGAAGAAGAGTATGGGCATGGGCATGGACAAGGACAAGACCCCTATGAGGATGAATACGACCCAGTCCAGCGGCGCTATACGCCCACTCCTCCTTCCTCAGCCGATCCGTATGGAAATCCTAACCAATATTATCGGTCTGATGATCAACTACCTCCTCCACCAGGCTCGGCTCCTGCGCCGCTATATCCTCCGCAGCAACCCCCGGCTGGTTATCAACAGCAAGGTCCTTATCCTGCGCAGCCAAGTTACAATCCGGCAGCCTATGCGCAGCAACCAGGGGCCCCACCCCCTATCAACCCAGCATATCCTCCACAAAATTCAGCTTCAAGCGCAGGCTTCCCCCCCGCAACGCCGTTCGCATCCGGTGGCAATGGGGATCCTAGATTGCCTCGAGGTCGTGGGGATGAAAATGTGAGTGCTCCGCCAAATGGCAATTTCTTTCCTGGCGAGCCTCGCCACGCCTTTCCGGATGGTACGTCCTCCGTGCCGCCATGAGTACTTGGTTGAGTCAGATTCAATAATGCTAATAACGATGTCTTCTAAAGGTGTAAATCAAGCTCGCGTTCCCTCTCCGCCGCTCCAGAATCCGTCCATGCCGCGATCAAGCTCTCAGCCTCCGCCTGCACCAAAGAATGTGGCATTTGACCTCGGATCCGACGGCTCACAACTCTCAAGTCCCGATAAGAGAAGACATAAACGGAGAGGAGAAAGCAATCGTGGCTACGAAGCGGAAGATGATTCCGAGTCCACCGCTGACGGCCGTGATAAACGCTACCCTACCCACCATCCCATTTCCGAAACCGAGTCTGACCCTGAGAAATCCGCTCGACATCAAAAATCACATCGTCGACGCCACCACCACCATGATGACGACCACCAACACAACCACGCTCGTCCACGCCGCTCTTCTAGAAATTATGGCGAAGCTCCCTCTGCTACTCGCCCCGACAGACCACCTAGCCCAACCGGTTCCGATACCACCATCGTTCTGCCTGACCGTTTTGATAAAGAAGGCAGACCTAAGCCTCAGCGGGGAGATGATGCTGTTGCCGATATATTCGAAGATCTCCTTTCTGGCAAGGGGCCCGGTGGGAAGTATTTCAAGAAAATTTTTGGTGGTAGTGACGACGATGCAGGCGCCAGGCGGAGGCGATGAACTTTTCTTTCCCTTTCTTGCTGGTAATGAATCGCTTATTACGACCTTATGTTACGTTCTTTCCTTGCTTTGAAGTTGGATGGGATATTCTATTGAGGGCTATGGCTTGGAAACAAAAATAGTTAGGCTTTGGATGAGATCACGACCTCTGCATTCGCTTTTTTTCCTTTCTCTCATTTTTTTTACGATAGAATATGCTTTTCCTCCCCCATGATTGGATTGGTCTCGCGGATGCGTTTACGAATCTACTTAACATGAATTTAATGAACCTTCACGAATTTTGATTGTATATGACCCTCAATGGAATTGTGTTTAAATCTTCCCGGTTCTGCTTCATGGCCGCTCTCACCATGGCCCCATTCCCTTCCCTTCCCTACCCTTCCCACTTTCTTCCCCAAGATTACTGCTGTCAGTCTAAGCAGAGCATGGTCTTACGAAGCTTGATATATACCGACCGCTATAATGGAGACCTATTCGTTGTGCCAATCCCATGATCCCACAAATATCGAGAGGTAGTACTCCCCTCTCTCCCGCGAGGGCCAGGGATTCTTGTGCGCCGATCAAGATTCCAGCTCCATCTGGCCTCAGGCCTCGGTTGTCTTCATGTACTCCCGCATCATATCTGTTCTTCGCTGGCTATGACCTGTCGAATCAGAGGAGCTGCATACTTCAGAGCCGCTGTTCTAGAGGCGTCGGACTTTGTGATTAGAGCTCTCAAGTGGCGTGTGGCGCTGGGGACGAGGCGATCTGCTTTGCTTTGGCCTTGCGTATCTCTTGTGCGCAGGCGGTGGAGCTTTGATCACTAACTACTGTAAGTCAGTCTCGGGAAGCATGAGAGTAACTACTAGTCGGTGGAGAAGGCGGAAAGGCCCAGCCCGCGTTCTTGGGTCGGAGGGTCTCCTTCCATGCGATAGCGGATGATGCATAGGCATTTCTCTGATTTGGTGAATGAATCGTGTGCATGCAAGCCGGTGATGGGCAAAGTCTTCCGCTTTTCATGCATGGCTTGGCCGCTCCGGATAAGTATGGTATCGGCTGACAAGCTGTAGAAGGACCACCAATCTCTACTTGCGCGTTTTGCGATCAATGTAGAATCATGTGCAGAACAGCCGGGTTTGGGGACGAGATCAAGGCCCCACCATGGCACTGTGCTGTTAGGGAACACGCTGATGAGGGACGCCGTTGAAAGACAAAAAACATCTTGAGCGAGGCGGAAGCCGGAGCGGATAGAGCCACCAGTTGGGATGCAGATGATTCCAGCGCCACTGGTGATGAATATGTGTCAACCTGCTGTGCAGAGTGCGTAGAGAAGCAAGTTGATTGATAGCTACGGGGGTAGAGAGCGTAGATTTATGTACAATTAGCTGTACCGTACAGCGAAATTAGAAGCGAAATTGCGTTGGAAATTGACCAATTAGAAGCAGCAGAAACGCAGGGATTACGCATATTAAACGCGGCCAATAGGCCCTCTCAGAAGGTCAACAATATGGTATTGAGGCGGGAGGGACAAAACTATCCTCTGGAGGCACGTCGCCTTCTTTCTACATCATCCGATTCCAGGCAGGTCGCACCGAGGCAGCAGGCGGGTCAGCGTCAGCAGACAGGCGCCACCGCCCCGCCGAGGAAGAGAGGAGACCCCAGACGTCCCAGTAGCATCATTCGGAAAGGTGAGAGGATGCCTGGCGAGATGGCAGGATTCAGGGCGCGGCGCAGCCGAAGTCAAACTGCGTATCAACCCCAGGCATGCCCGAGAAGGTAATCAATATCCATAAGAGGCGCTGGTTTGATATCGGCATGCAGATCTTCCACCTTTACGCGTTTCTCTTTATTGTTCTTACAAGATCTAATGTAATTGATCTGACGAAAAGTCCTATCTAGGGGTAAGTGTTGGCGAATGACCCGCTCAATCTTGCAGGCTTGTATCTTGGTTGATTCAAATAGAGAACTTAGCAAGATGGGGTCGAGTACAGGAACAGTAGAGGTTGTGAAATAGCGAGATACCTTCAGGAATCAGGATACGAGGTCCAAGGACAAGTCCCCTTACGTTACCCAACATAGAGTCCGTCGTAGATAATGACCAGTCACATGTACACAGCAGGAAAACTTCATGAAGCAATGAGTTTCCTAGGCCTAGTCAACTATATAAGCAAGTCAGAGGCAACAAAACCAGTTAAATGGTCCAGATCAGACACCACCGCTGACAGTAAAAGCTGTTGTGACTACCTAAGTGTGGCCTGGCCGACTTTAGCCCCAACTAGAAGAAGTTGTCACAGAATGAGGTGCACGCTCGCTGGCCAAGAGGCGACTCAATAGCGGTTGCTGCAGCCCAGCAGAAAGGTCGAATGTGGAAGGGGGTCAAGCGGCAGAACTTCTGCATAGCGTCGGCACCAACATCACAAGCTCTCTTGCATTGAGCCCGAGTCAGATCACGAGCTTCGATTCCAGCCGAGACGAAATCCATGCCTGTGTCTGCCCCTGCCTCTGCCACCGGTTCCGCTACCGGGATTGCTGTCACAAGCATGGCGGGCAGCAGGACGGCGATGATGGACAAAACCTTCATGTTGGCTGTTGGCCGGCTTGAAGTCAGAATGAGGATCAACTGTTGAGAGCCTGGACAAGGTACCTTGAGCTGAAGTCGTTGAGGGAAGCGTAGGGACTCAAGAAGAGAAGATGCAGGTGGTAGCTGCTGTCGATATCAGTAAGGGTTAGACGGAATACATAATATCCAGCCGAAGGACCAATGAGGAAACGTACAAGTGAAGGCAGGGCAGACGTGATGAAAAGCTTTTGATTGCTTGCGATGATGTATGAGATTGTTGTTGTCGTTGTTTGGATTGCTGGTGATGAGAGATCAGATGGGGGAAAGCGAACACATATTTATATCTTTTCTGACGGCAAGAATTCGAGTCAATATTCCCTTTACCGTGCGAAGTAGCCTATGGCTTCTAAGTATATTGCAGACTTTGTAACTCATGAAGGTTATGATCTGCTCTCCCTTCTGCAATTGCTCTTTAGCTTCGCTTAACATGACGGAGATCTTCTCTTATTCCTCGATATCCCGTATATTTCTCTTACAAACAAAATCCAACACGAAGCTTCAGGTTAGTTGGAGAGCAGCCAGCCTCATTGAAGCTCATGATCTGCCATCAGGTACACAGTGGGGTATTGAACTCGCTTGACGAACAAGATCTTCTCTCCCTATTATTAGCTGTCAGGCGTCTCTGCCTGGACCCAAGAATGATAGGAAATGATCTGAAATACCAAGAAGCGATATGCCGGGATTTACAAAATAGGGGCACCTGAAGCAGCGCAGAACCACGAGTTGGTATCAACCTGAAGAATGAGTAGAAACGTGCTATTGAAGTACTGTACCCTCTGATATATGATGCCCACCCCCTATCTTATGAGAAGAGTTGCCTTCAATGAGCAATGGGCTGTGCGACATCGCCAACATGGAAAACGGGCCCCGTTCAAGTCGTGTTCTTGTTCTTTCGGAAGTCTCATAATAGTGGACACACGAACCCGGTTGAGGTTAAGAGAAAATGGTTCTACCCTCCTGCTGAATAGATTGGTTCGGAGCTGATGATTCTTTGTAACATCAACCAAGATAGAAACGTGCTGGTCAATGCGGTTCGGAGCCTTCGCCTAGTGAAAGGGACAAACTGTCGCTTGCTGCCCAGTGTAGTTGGCCAATGGCCCAGAGTGCCCTACCAAGATGTTATGCATGATGAAGCCAATGATGCCAAGGACTCGGTGGAAGTTGCTTGCCCCCACGTTAGGTTGAATGTTGCAGAACATCTGAAGCTCCGCACAAGGTTTTCGCCCCCTTTGCCAAGGAACCGGACCTTGCAGAGTACTTATGTGAGAGGCGAAATTGTGGGGAAGTGTTGGGTCCAGGCCTTGACTTCGCTGTTGCGTTCCCGTGGTTGGTCGATTCTTCCGAGTCGGCCAAGTACTTATTTTCAATGATCGTTTATGACGGACTCTATCAGCCGGCTGTAACGTAGTACGGAGCAGATGACATCGATCAACCACTAGTGTCAACGGCATTCGATCCAGTGTTTGGGAGTACGCTGCAATGTAGAACGCCATGATGTCGGATGGAGACGTATCCGAGCAGTGTGATAGAAAGTTCCGGGATGGAAATGCACCAGTGACCAGCGAGCTGGGAAGCATGTGAGCAGGATAGGGTGCTAGTACTAGTAATCGTACACACTCTGATCCCACAAGGGGCACTTGAATCTGGCATTTGTAAGTTGTATCATCATACTGGATAGCATCTCAGCAAGCTCTCGAGACTTGTTTTTGAGTGCTAAAGTAGGAGTTGCAGGCCCACGGTCGGCGCTTATGAAAGGAGAGGACTTGCAGCCAAGCAGCAATGTCGTGCTCATAGATAATCGTGCTGAAATAGCACACCCAAGTATGCTAAATAGGCATGGGTCGCTATGCATGTCTCTGTCCGCAGCCCGTGACTCAAATTGAGATTCTTGTAAATGCGCAAATGGTGGAAGTAAGCGCAAAGCTCGCTGGACCTTCTTTCCAAACGATAATCGGAGTGAACTTGATGAATACGAGTCAGCTTTCTCTCATGATATGTTCGCCATCTGTTTATTTTGACCCTGGTAGTGGAAGTGACTTCTAGAATCACAATAACACAGGGGGCTTACGCAACTGAGGAAGCCTCAGAAGACATGAATGCCACTTGGAAACACAAGTAAAGTTGGGGCTAGATCCTGCGTGGCATTTTATGGTATTCCATGTATTGCTCGATGATTCGTCTGCTGAGAATATAGGGCGGCCGCATCTCGGTTGTTGTCTTGGTGGTTGTCGAAGTGGAGTCAGCTTTGTAAGACTGCTATGTAATTACGTACTGAAAAGGACGATCTTGCTGGCGAAAAGTCGGTAGAAATCAAATTCCAAGCTTGTTTCTGGCCCAAGGCTGCACGAATTGAACATTCCGTACTAGATAGTTAGTATCAACAGTATTGACACTCAGATGACGTAGCATAACCAGCAAGCTCTGAGGAAAGCAAATCTTCATCACTTCAATACGAGGTGACCACTGCCAATCTAAAATCCTCCGAGTCGTCCATAGACAAATTCATTTTGTATTCAACTGGACACCATTCATGAATCTTTCCACATTCAAACTACCACTCAATACACCCGTAACGCCTCTGTACTGCTCTCAATTGAGAGTCCTTTGTGAAGTTCAGCAAAGAAATTCACAGAGGCCGCATTCCTGGCTGCTTTGCATTGCTGACCGGACGGAGGTGAAAGGAGGGCTTCAGTTACCAGGATTCCTAGTATACCACTCCAGCTTCCAGCTATCCAAACCTCGGAATCATCACGCACCAGAGATCAAGGCCTTAGCAGATGACTTGTCAGAAGGGAAAGCTATGCAGGGATCTGTTGACAACGTGGTACATTTGTTGTGACCTCGAGCTAGCTGTACATCGTAGTATGAAAGTCGTATCTGGTGTGTATCTTATCCGAGGGGCGTGACATCTGCATCACTTCGCTCTAAAGAGGATTTGCAAGTTTTAGCCATCAGAATTTTCTTTGCATAGATATCGGCTGGCTTCCTGGCAGCCTCGGGGCTCGTAACGTCACAATTCATCTGTAATTGGTAAGAAGTTGTCGCAGTTAGCCGGCCCATTGAATGTGTTCTTATCCGTGTGACATAGAAAATGAGGTGTGTTCACCACTCAGACAAAAACACAAAAATAAGGTTTATATTTTATTATTCGGAAGCACTTTCAACTTCGGGCCTATGGTGTAGTTGGTTAGCATCGTCCAAGCTGTCACTATATAGCAGATCGTAATCGGAATCGTACCCGGATCTGTGTGACTTGTAGGTACCAACAGTGTTAACAATGGCAATTTGCTCATTAACACATCGACCAAAAAATCCTTCGGGGTTTTTCCTGAGCTCCTGACCCATCACCACAGAACTAATGTGGCTGATGGTTCGGAGTTCAAGGTTTTTGAAAAAAAATTTGATGTTTAGTACGTGGTTCGATCCCCATGCTTGCAACATTAAATTGCTCATGCGGTCGAAAACCAGTGGATATTGACCTAAAGCTGTGTACAGGTTGCGCTTGTCACGGTTGGGCAACGACAGTGTCACGAGTATTCCTGAACCTTCCCCATGGTATGCTTACTTACTCGTTTTGTTGAGTAACTAATTTAGGAACGATTCGAGAGTGGCCTGGGTATAGCGCGGCCGTGGGAACCCGTCCCAAGGTTGAGAGATATGGCGTCGTATTCCTTGACCAGTCGACTAGCCGAGCAGTGGCAACTCCTTTCACTATCGATTGGTTGGCACGTTGGTTGGCTGTCTCATATGATGTCTTGCCGCTTTGACGCTCTCCAGCTTACCCAGGCGACTGTCCACAGCCATCTTCGGGAATTCCAACGTGTCCCAAACTAGTTCCGGTTCCCCATGAGGTACTGCAACCCCGACCAGGTAAAATCGAGCTGCTTCATATCAGCTCTCATTTCACAGTATGCAGCTTGGGAACCTGGAGCTTTACAATCAGCCAGAGTTTCATATGAACTTACTGACAGGATGACTAGTGTGGACTTAGCTGCTGATCAGTTAATAATGTATTTCACTTCTTCAGAGCAGATGCGGAATGTGCAATTGGACAAGTGGGGATGCATGAATACATGCTTCACACCCGTGGCACGTCTGTTCCATACCCCCACTCCCACTTTGGCTTCGTCTACTTCTTCGACATTTCCTTGAATAAGAAGATCTTGATAAGACCGATCAAAATCTCCCAGAACCTCCGCTCGTGATGAGCATATTCCGGTAGATGTCATCACTTTCCTCACAGAGGTGAAGCTTTTCCGGGAATTCGGATGGGTTAATGAGTCTTGCAATCGTTTCATGCCGTCATCCGACGAGTTTTGTCGCTCCTTTATTATGGACGCCCTGCCGGAGCTTCGGGACGACTCACTATTTGTTTTGGCCATTTTATATAGCAGCGGTGAGATGATCGTGCTTGTTTGAGACTTGTGCCCGGTGTCATCATCTCACCGTTCGATCACCTGGTTCTTGTCAGATTCTGTCAAGCGCGGGATCTGTCAAACTGTGAGAGCGCCTATTGGCCAGTCTTTCTGCAGTTGATCCCTGCTAATCGCCTGCGTTTGATTGGTCCATCTTAAATGCAATTTCGGCGCAAATCTTGCTGGATCATAGGGCGAACTTTGCACATACATCTACGAGTGCAACGGCTTAGCAATAGACAGAACAACATGCTTTTCAACTCTATCTCAGAAGCTGTTCGATACCTGGTGGCAGAAGAGGGTGCTTCAGTCCTGACGCCGTGCACGCCAAGGAGACCACAGAACTGAATCATTTCATTGGTTAGTATCCCAATGCACCTTATCAAGGCTAACATATCACTCCAGTGCTTGTTGTGATCCATTCCTAACATCGTTTCTTGCCAAACTCGTGAGGGATAATATGCCCAAACTTTCATAAGAGTCGTGTAATGCACAATATCAAGACCGGCCCACGGCCCAACGAGCGGAAGCACAAGGTTATCAAGGAAACCTGGCAAGTATCGTGCTGGTTAGACCTTGTGTTGAGTTGTGGCACTCGGGTCTTGAGGAACGCTCATTGCGCATAAGCGGTTAGCATGGACAAAGATGAAGGCACGACACAATTCTCCTCATCTCAAGCGCTGTTCTATAAGGGAGGTTCACTAGCTACAGTCTTCATCCAGTTCACATCATCAAACCGAGCTATCTGGATCGGAACTCGACCATGATCTAGCACGCTATATACCTTCAACTATCTTTGCAGGACTATATGCTGCAACTAGTCATACACTCTCAATTGGCTGCGTCTAATGTGAAAAGGATCCGTCGAGGAATAGCCATAGTTCCACCAACGTCCAAAGGATCCAGTACCATACCAGAAGCATCGACTTATAGCTTCCTCACTGTATTTTCAATACACAACCGATTGAATTCAATAGTCACCGTACGTATCACTTGCGTCCTCCAATGTCTGCTTTGGGCCTAAAAGCAATCCCGAAATGGGTTCTTCCTTATTTCGTCTCCACTTCAGGTAGGCGACAAGCTCTTTGTCATCTACTATAACTCTCTTCCACTCAGGGTCCTTGTGGTCGTGACCAGGTCTTTTATATAAGTCGTCCTTGCAGACTATTCTCCACGCATCGCTCGCATATTTCCCAACTCCTGTTAGATGGACTACTTCTGATTCTAGTACTTGCCTATTCTTTGAACGTTTTTGATGTACGACTCCAGCTGTCGGCGGGTTCAAGAGCCATTTTTTTGCTAGGTCAATGAGCCAGTTTGCTTGGCGGAAAGGCCCGAGCTTAGCAAAATAGGGTTGTATATCTTCATAAGACGCGTTTGACAAGAGTTCGGGATCCGGATATCCTCTGAGGAAGCGTCGTGCCTGAGGTATTGCTTGCTCTCCTCGAGTCTTGTTGAGGAAAATGCAAACAACCAGAAGCTGAAACTAGGGGATATCCTTGTCATTAGTGTACAGGAGCCTAACCTTAGGAGGTGTCAAACCGGATTGTCTGCGTAGTCCTCCTCCACAAGCCCAAAGCTTGCTATGAGCGATTCCGGTAACGGGTCTTCTCTATGGTGGCTGCTTTAGTTCGTTCATTGTATAATCCTTCGTTAGCAACTATCCTGGTGCGAGATTGGATAATATCACGGAGGATATAGAAGAGAATATATGGCCATGACAGTTGATACATATATGTTGGATTCGTCAAGACCGAAACATGGTAGAGCTCTTCCGTTTCTGGTAGAATTGGACTCAGAAGATCCTGATGATGGTATGTACAAGACGTTGGTAAAAACAACTCCTCTCTCATGCTAGAACCTACCCTCCATCTAGTTTAATGCTCCTGGGTCCGCTCTCCATCCGATGTGTGACCTTGGCTGTAGCTGCTTCACAGCTTTGATCAGTCAGTCCGCAACCCCAGTGCTAGGAGTATGCAACTCAGCATTTGGTTTGCCATGTGTCCAGTGTCTTGAGGTCTTACGGGGATGTCGGGAATCTGATCATTTGTACTTGGATCGAGGAATGCTGAAAGAATATCGGCGGGGCTATGAAGCGGCCAGTTCTCAACACGGGCCATATGATTATGGTCGCTGTATAATGCAGAAACAAGTATAATACTTGTAACCTGTTATGGAGGCCACCAGGGACCGACAGGTAGGGTTCGAATTATAATATAGATATTTGGATGATATGAATATAATGTATAGATAGACTGGCTAGCCTTAAGACAAAGCTTCTCAGCTAACTGTCCGCATTCATCGAACTCAGGTGCCCACTTCAATCTCGAGCCACAGAACCGTTCCGGTGAAAGAATCAAGCAAACCCATTTCAGTCTCAACACGAAAGGAGATCGGCCTGGCAGTAGCCAAGACTCGCACTTCATCCAGCGCCAGCGCCCTCTGCGGTAGATTCTCCTTCTCAGACCTCCAGCCGAGTCTATAGTTAGTGGTGGCAGTGGGATCGTGCTGCGGACCTGGCGTGCCGAACTGCCTGATCAGCCAAGAGGGTGAAGCCTGTCTTTGCGATTGAACATCCCGTGTCGATGTTCCCTGGGGTGGCTCTATGGGTTCCATGGGAGCGGGCTCAACCTTGTGACCGGATGCGGCAAGGCGTTCTCGTAAACGTGATGGCAGTTCCTGGATGACGCCCGGCTGCAGCCAGAAGGCTGACTTGTTTTCTGGGCCATCGAGCCGGATCAAAGTGATAATCTCGACATCTTGTGAACTGACTATGTCTTTTGCTGCGAGGTCAGGCTGTTTGGCCAAGACATTTGCTGGAATGACAACAAAGACTCTTTTAGTGGCTCCTTCGAGGAGTTCAGCATACAGTAGAGGCTCGATCTGCCACTTGATAAGGTCAAGTATGCGACCACTTCGAGCGGTTGTAAGCTGAAAATGGAGGCTTGGTTGTGATAGATTTTTGCTCTCAGAAAATGCTGGTGGAGGTGTTGATGAGGCTTCGTAAGGGGGCGCTCTGTGGTCAACCCCAGATTCAAGCTTCTCCGACATAAGGTAGAGGGTATACCTCTTAGTTTTAGATCAGAGGACCGTTAGGATCAAACGGAAGTACAAGTGAGAATTGACATGCTCAAGCGAAACGCCAGTGAATAGTCTCTTATGGCTTATTTTTGATATCTCTCTTTGACCTGCAGATAGCGCTGTGCAGAGGCGACAAGGACTAAGCCCAAATATCTAGAATGCAACGGTTTTGAGTATTTGCAGAAGGTGTTGAAACAGGAGCCTTAGTGGGTGAGTTAGGAAACCTTGGTGATGGCTGGCGCCGTCGCCGGACTCACATGCCGACTCTTCTCAAAGAGGTTCAGTTTATTTATTAGCAGACGACACGGTCAAGGCTGACTCTCACTGTGAGGCATCCATATCCAGTTCACCCCACCACCAGCTGCCAATAGCAGTGGCAGTGCTATCCGTTGAGGCCATTCCCCAGGTTAGTTACAGTACAGCACGATTCTTACTGGAGCTAGCCACTTTTACAGCCCCCCAACTGTACTACCTGTCTCCCTGTCTTCCTATCTTATATGATGCAGAGTGCGTGATAATACGAGCTTGTGAAGCGGGGTTGTACTCGACTCAGCATAGTATGGCCAGTCATGAAAAGCTAAATAGTTTCTATTTCATTTTTGTTGAATATCCTGCGATGCTTCGCACAAGGAACCTGTCACGCCAACAAGAGTCAGCCATACTTTCTTCACTGGCCTAATCTCGCATCTTCATCAGCTGTTGCTGACAGAAGACATTGCTCTGTCTTCCTTGGCCTACTTGTCAATACTAGCTAGCCAACACAGGGTTGTTCATATCCGCAATACCGCCTGGTGATTGTTGAAAGCTCGGCCTCTTAGGCCAGGCGAATTCTGTTCTCATAACTGGCCTCACCGTGGCGCGGCATTTCACATCTTATACACACCCTCATGTGTTTGTTGTATATATGTTTGCTCGCACACCGTAAATCCATCTCATAACTACATACAGTACCAAACATCCAAGCACGTACTTCAGGCCCAGTCCATCTTCCATCAAGTATCTCTAACTCAACCTTTCATAATGACGGGAACCCTGTGGTACAGCATTGCCGAGCCAAACGAATATCTTGTGCTCACCGGCGCCAGAATCGATGATGTTCGCATTGTCAAAAAAGCGCTCATCAAGCCATGGCAGAAATGCACCCGAATCTCCATCTCGCCCTTCGATTTCAGCCTAAATCTCCAAGCTATGACGATGGAAAAGTTGCAGTTCGCCTTGCCTGCTGTTTTCACAATTGGCCCTGACAACGATTTGCATGCGCTGAAGAAATATGCTCTACTTCTCTCAGGCAATCCAAATGGTGGCAGCCCTGCCAGCCGTGCGGGCACAATCACGCCGACAAAACGTAACCATGTTCAAGATATTGTAAAGGGCATCATCGAGGGTGAAACTCGTGTCATTGTTTCTAGCATGACCATGGAGGAGATTTTCAAAGAACGACAAATGTTCAAGCAGAAGGTTATTGACAACGTGCAACATGAGTAAGTGCAGAACCACATCAAATTCTTCGATGAAGTCATGCCTGATGATGGCTCTCTAGACTCACTCAATTCGGTCTTCGCATCTATAATGCAAATGTCAAGGAGCTGCAGGTAGGATTGTGACAATGGGCTTGCCGCCTCCAAGTGCGTCTGCTTGGACTAACAACCTGTTTTAGGACACTCCAGGTTCGGAATATTTTGCATTTCTGAGCCGTAAGGCACATGAAGGCGCTTCGAATCAAGCAAAGGTCGATGTTGCCGAAGCACGTATGCGAGGTGAGATAGGCGAGGCGGAGAAGAAAGGCCGAACGAAACAGGAAGTCTCGAAGATCGAAGCCGAAACTGCTGTACTTGACACTAGACGACGTGGTGACAAGGCTCAAGCGGACGCCGAGCTCACCAATCGCCAGACGGAGCTCAACATGGGAATAACCCTTGCACAGATCAGGGCTAAACGGCAAGCAGAAGCCAAAGATGCCGAGCTTCAGAAGGACGTCGAGCAGAAGAAGGCAGAAACCGAACTTGAACGTCTCCGAGCTACCGATGTCACCAGGTCCAAGATTGCCAAGGAGACTGCTCAGCAGAAAGCTGATGCTCAGTTCTACACCGAAACAAAGTCTGCGGACGCCCATATCTACTCGCAACGCCAAGATGCAGAAGGGGCTTACTTCCGCCAGCTAAAAGATGCGGAAGCAGTATATGCCAGACAAATCAAGGAAGCAGACGCCGCATTCTATGCTAAGAAGAAAGAAGCTGAGGGTATCGCTGCTGTAGCTCAGGCCTACAAGGGCATGGCGGAGGTGATGGGGGGACCCCAGGGCTTGCTACAATACATGATGCTCCAGAACAACACCTACGAGAGACTAGCCCTGGCCAATGCTAAGGCCATCAACGGCCTCCAGCCCAAGATCACTGTATGGAACACTGGAGAGAACGCTGGCAGCAGCGATTCCACTGCGCCGATCAGAAACCTTTTCCAATCTCTTCCTCCTCTTCTTTCCACGATCAACGATCAGACAGGGATCGCCCCTCCAAGCTGGATGGTGGGATCCATGGGCAAGAACAATGAACCAGAGTACACTCCGTCCACAAAACCGAAGATGAACGGTGTTGATGGAATTCACTAAGTGGTTCTGGATGTCATCTGGATCACAGGTCGCCTTTCCATAGCGGATTCAGTTTATCTAATTGGCGTAGACTCTTTTTTATTTCTGCCTGCGTTGCTTTGTACGGCGAAATTTTCCTATGTTTAGGTCGAACCTTCTACTAGGTGGAGCTTCCCAGAGCGATTCTTGACCAAGTTGTCCGGAACAAGAAGGATAGCGCATAATACATTGGCAATTTCAGCTCCTTGCTAGCATACATTGCACAGATCCTGCTTCTGAATTTCTTTTCTTGACTGCCTTGTAATCAGACAAGGAGAGAGACACTACAATATGTTCTGTCAAGCGGGCTGCGAAGCTAATCTAGGAGCGACATGAATCGTCATGACCTTCGAGGTTGACTTCAGTTCCGCCGAAATATTATCAAGAGTCGACAGGGAGAGGCTCCCCTCCTAGCCAGCTGGTTTTTAAATCCAATCTCGCGCTGTAGCCAGAGCCCTCCGAACCCCCTATCTTTCCCCTATCATGGAAAAGCTTGGCAAATCTCAAGTCCCAGCGAACTAATCAAAGTGCTCGTAACGTAACATAAAGCTAGACTATCACTTCTCTGACCAAACATCGACAAACCATTCCCTCTCCTTGATTCCAAAACATTCACTTCAAGATCCCTTGTTCTGAGATTCTTTCTACATATCTGTAAAAGGACATAGTTATCTTTCTCTACAATGCCACAACCCACCCCACTAGCCATCGCAACATCCTCGCTCCAACGCCTAGTCAAAGAAGAAGCATCCTACCATTCGGAGCTAGAGATGCAGCAGAAGCGTATCGAGCGGCTCGAAAGCGCACAGCCGACCATTAACGGAGAAGGAGGAGAGGAGGATGCTGAGAGTGAGGCTGAGAGAGGGAACCAGGAGTTCTTGTTGAAGCAGGAGGTTTGTCTATCCTCCTACTTGATAACTACTCGAATTTGGGTTTTGGGGTATGAATGCTAGTCAGAGCCGTATGGCCAATGCTGACCTTCCACTCTCTTTTTCGCTGCGACAGAGAAAAGCGCTAGAGGAGACGAAAGCCGTGTTTCCGAGACTGAGGGAGAGGATCGTGGAGGGGATGGCGAACCTAGAGGCGCTGCTGGTATGATCTTTTCGATTCATTCTCACTTCTGGCTTTGCGGGTTGAGGCGTTGTTGGATTGGGGTGTGAATGCGATGCTGACTTCAGCATGCAGGCTTCAGCTCCAGAGGGTGATCCTGATGTTGCTAAGGCGAGGGAGGTGATTGAGCAGGCGAAGGCTGCTACGGGTTGAGGGGCCTTGTATAGGGGGCTGTGGGATGCTGGGAGGGTACTACTTTGTAGGGAGGAATGGTATGCAGTATCAGCAGGCATGGAGGATGGTTAGGGAACCTCGAGGCTGGGCATGGGATCAATGATGGAAAATGTTTGGAAGCAGGCGTATGTAGAGGTGGTCAGCCATGGTAATGCAAGCCCTGGAATCGAGACGGCTCAACCAGGTTCTAGCTATGTGGATGCTAACTGGTGTCCATCTGGTCTCGTCCTTTCTCGGCCGTTACAACATTAGGCTGAGTTGAGGGTTGATCCTCAACGCTTGTCTCTCCGTCCTGCTGTGGCATTTCGCCAACTTCGCCTTCATCTACCATTTCTGCGTCGTCTTTTTCTTGTACTTCGGGAACAGACTCTATGGCATCAATCCCCGTCTCTTCAGGTTGTGGGGTTCCTCTTCTCGACCTCGGTGTCATAACGCCACTTCCGCCTTGAGTATGGTGCATCGGCGTCAATCCGCCTTCTTCAGGTCTTGGTGTGCCAACATTCGATCGGCCACTTGCTGCACGTTCAACTCCAAGGAAATCCTCCGCCTCGGGTTGGGTGACCTCCTCCTTTTCGTCTCTAATCAATCGCCTCAGTCTCGCACCTTCGTCAGATATCCTAGCGAACTGCTCCCTTCTCTCCCTCCATGCATGGTCGTGCTCTCGACTCTCCCGCTCAAGGTCTTCAATCTCAGCCCTAAGCTTCTCCAAATTTACATGCTGTTCGTCTCTGGGTTTCAACGTTTTGTTGCTCGTTATCTTCTCTGCCAGCTCATCGTATGTTTTACGGACCGCCAGAAGTTTCTGTGCTTCATCTAGTTGAACCCGTAATCTTTTGGTGCTCTCTCTGACATTCTCTGCTGTCCCCTCGATTTGGATCTTCTCTGCCGCATACCGTTCTCTCTCCTTCGCATTGGACTGTCGGAGAAACTGTATGCGTACAATGCTGCTCTCGAAAGCTGCAAAGTCGAGAATCACATCTTCGCGGAATTGACGCCGTTCTGCAGATGCCTTCTCCTCCGGAGTTCGGGGGTCAATTACTGGTGTTGGGTTTTCTTCGCTCGGCTCGGGTGGAGGTGTAGGTATCCGACTGCTGGGAGAGAGGGAGTAGAGAGGGGATGGTTCTGAGAGGAGCCGTTTGGTCAGGCGTTTAAAAGGTTTCTCTTCTACACTGAGAAGGCGGCTTTTGTGAAGTGCCTCTATGTTTGGTCAGTCGAAATATCTTGAACTTATACAGATCGATCGCACCTTCACTTGCTGGATCAGGATAGCCCCAAGCAGCCATTGTACACAACTGATGTTTTCCTCAGTTTTTGTGTTTAGAGTCCATTGAGCCGGTAGTGATTTGACGATGGACAACCACGTCAGTTACCAGTCAATCCGAGATGCTATTCAGTTACATGCGTACCGTGAGTTTGCTCTAGTAATATTGTTATTTAAAGCCCCTCTTACAGATACCCCTTCCGCCCTTATACGAATGACGTACATTATACGACGCGTTAAACACGTCAAACGTGTTCAGCCTTTTCTACTACTGCCGTATTCTATCTCCTAGAACTGCTCGAATCAATGCCAGCAAGGTGTCAAGCATTCGTTACAGCAAGTGGGATGCATGTTGGATTTTAGATATATACCAGGCTAGTCCTGATCGAGCCATTTCCTGACGTTTCATCTTGGCATTTCCCAGCTGTTACTAGTACTAAAGCGAACTAACGATCCTTCCTACGTATGCCTCGTACCGTAGTATGTAGCTTCGGGAAACATCCGCCACTAAATGGAGCCTATTCATAGCCCCAACCCAAATGCATCACAAGTAAATCACTGAATCAAGTTTCACCTCTTTGTTTGTGTTAATGTGAGGCACATTCACAAACAATGGCCACGACTTTACAAGGGCCCGATCGAGGTCTTGAGCCTTGAGCCGGCCTCTCAGTGGTTGTCGTTTTGTCCACGACATAGAAGTGTTGTTCTCGCAGTTTGCCTCCATCACCTTCTGTCAAACATAAGCTATTTATTGGTCCTCTGAGGGCCGTGGTCTTTGGGTCCAACTCCTTCATATAGAATCATGGAGAGTCATGGCGCCAGATCGCTTGCATTTCTGGCGCAGAAAGCTTGCATCAAGTCTTTGAAGCGTGGGTGACTTCAGTCTCTGCTGCTTCTTCCCTTTACTGACATTGACAGGCATCGATGACATCGGCGATTGTCCCTATGAACTCATTCGGCCAGTGCTACTGAAATTGGAGAACCCAGACCAATTGGTTAGTGTTGTGGCCAACTGTCTACAGTGCCTAATAGTCCCACTTAGCATCAACTCGAGATCAACTGTCCGCATCTTGTCGGCCGTGTCGACGAAATCTGGCTGCAACTCATTAAGCGCGATATTCCGGATTGGCAGAGCAAGCCGCATCGACCAAAGGACCCGAAGAACTGGTGGAAGGTGTACAAGAAGCTCAAAGAGCAAACTGAAAAAGATAGAGAGCAAGGTGCCGAGAAATTGAAGGCGGCCTTGGACATTATCAACGATGAGCGGGAACAAAACCTGGCCAAAGTGCTGTCTCGCAAGGAACTTCCCAAAGAGCCGATTAATTACAAGGCCAAAACCTTATACAACTACAACAGTGGCAAGACTGGAAGTAAGTCGGGACACAAACTGACATTACTGGAAAAGATTAGAAAGGAGGCCCGAAACGCGCGACTTGCACGTATGAACCAGCCAGTTCCCCGGATAGCCAACAAGGCTACTGAGGTCAAGCAAGCACCTCGAGGCTTCGTTGAGGACCAAAAGCTCTTGGCTCGGCAAAAGACCTCAGCACCGGTGGCAATAAGACAGCCAACGGTTCCACGGGTTGCCAAACCTCCTATTGCTATCGTGAGGCAGGAGAAACCAGCCTCTGACAAGGCATTTTTAGAAAGAGAAGAACGGTTGAGGGCGCTAACAGAAGGGAGACGAAACAAAGCGATTACTATCTCCGAAACAAGCAGCCCAAAGACAGATGCAATTTCGAAGGGATCTACCGCCTCACAAGCCTTGTCCAGACCACAGCGACCTCTTCCGCAGAGTGATGGAGCCGACGACGAAGATATGGGTGGCACGCAAGCTTCAAGTCCAATCACCAGGAGAAGAAACCAGAACGTGAGTGCATCAAGGAGCACACCGAAACATCATACAGGTACACCGCCATCAACCCGGTTTGCGAGTCCACCACCGCCACCCAAGCGAAAAGCGGAACCCTCAATCTTCATGAGCTTGAAGAAACCAAAAGCTACCTGATGATATCATTCACCATCTTCTAGTCCTGATTTATCCTATATGTTACGCTCTCAGTTGCGCAGGGCACAAACGAGCTGGCACATGTTCTTACTCTGATTTATAGCGTACACATAAGCTTGGCCGTATGGTCAAGTTATTATTTGCATGGCGAGTTGGCCAGGCCGGGTATCTGGGTATCTAACATTGGACCCAGCTTCCCTAGATAGAGGCGATAGTAGAATCTTCATCATATCGATCGATGTCTGACTTCAATGGCTGACTTCTCGACCGTGACTTGTCGTTCGGTATATCGTAGTCGCATATCGTTTCATCCATCCACAATCCGCTCTCCCACCCTCCAGCAAGAACCCATTCCCAGCCATGTGTATCCGTCGTCTAATCCACTCACCTCCCTCCTCTCAGCGCCAACACCAAGTGCAGTGTATTCCCTCCCTCTAGCCCGTAATCCTCCGCAGTCTTCTGATCGGCCCTACACAAATCCACAAATCAGCCCTCGCATGCCCCTATTTCAAGAACCCGCAGCCCCTTGTAGTGCGGGGAGCATACATCTGTTTTCCACCATAGATCAACCGCTGCTGGACGGGTGGAATGCCCTCTTTCTCTTCTACTCGCTCTTTGATCCTTGAGACCTGGGAGTTTCCGGGGTGGGGTCAGTCAAACATGGGGAAATGGTGGCGGTGGTGGTTGCGAAGAAGAGCGCGGCCAGGGCAGGGTGCTGAGGGGTTTAAGTACCGGGTAGTTTGGTTCGATATCCAACTCGATCTCTTTGCCGGTTAGGGTGCGGACTCTGCGTACGATAGGTCAGTGGATGGTTTGGAGGGGGGTTTGTTGAAGAGGACGCACTTGATGAGCATGTTCGCGGACCTGGGGCAGAGCCAGGGAAAGGTCAAGGGAAGGCGGGATTGGGAATCGGTGGAGATGTGGTTGTCGCTATGAAGGGGGCGTCGTAGGTGTATTGGTGTAGAGGGCGAAACGGTTGTGATCAATCTGGCGAGGAGTTGTGGTAATCGATATGAAATGCTTGTCTGATGCCTACTTAGCAAATGTAGAGCCGCAATTCAGCCGCGTTTGGGAAGGGGTGAACGGGCTATCCAGGCACTAACGGGGCTTGGCATCTGTGGTTTCCGGGCTTGCGCTATAGGCTATTCGTACGTGTACGGAGTACACATGTTGTCATCCTAGTAAAGGTAGCATTGTTTGCTTTATGGTGTCTGTACATGACCGATGCAGTCCAAGGTGAACCTTGAATAGCATGCTTCGGAATCAGAAGAGATGTTTGAGAAAATAAGATACGCTGCTATGCTCTCTTCAAGATGACAGCGCAATTCATCCAGGGGCGTCATCACTGACAACTGACCACTACTGCTCTTCGAACTTCCATTCTTCTTATTGTCGAACTTAATCATACGAGATGGCCAAAGTCGCTATCGAAGATCTCTCTGGCCATACAACACCCGTGACCGGCAACCCGTATGACGGGCTGATCAGCGCCACGAACAACAACTCGGTATGGCCTACCCTGAGGCAGCTCTGAATATCTGTTCCTGAGAACTTTTCTACAGAAGCAGCTCCAAGAGCGGTACGACCTACACCGAAGAACGCGCAACGAACAGCAAAAAGCTAAGATCGTAGACGAAAACTTCCCCGGCTGGGTCCTGGATGAATATCTAGTCAAGCTGGATGGTCCCAGACGTGACCCCAGCTTCGTTGACCCCAGAAACTGCCTCGTCTTCTGGGCTCGGCCACCCCAAAAAGTCCGCAATCTCGTCAACGTGATCCAGCAGAAACTGCAGGACGTTGCGCCAGGTAAGTCCCCACCGACTCGATCCCTATATCGCACCGGCCTCTCATCATCAGTACACCAGATCTCTGGCTCATGCCCCTGGACAGCCTCCACATGACAGCAATGGAAGTCACGCACTCGCTCACCACCGAGGAGATCGAACACCTCGTCAGCATCCTCCTACCAAACGTGGACGCCATCGTGGACCTGCCCTATCACCACCGGGCGCGCCTGATCAAGCCAATGGTAAGCTACGACTCGGCAGCGCTAGCCCTCAGCTTCGTCCCGGCATCGGGCGAAGCCGTGCCAGGAGACCGCCGCGCCTCAGAAGACGAGTACACGTACCACCACCTCCGCCGGGATCTGTATACGGCGATCGAAAACGCGGGCGTCAAAGTCGCCTCGCGCTATGTAGTGCCCTCTGCACATCTCACGATTGCGAGGTTCAACACGCCGAACGTTTTTGGTGGTGATCCGATGGATAAGGCGCCGACGCTAGAGCTCAAGAAGCGAAGCCGCTGGATCAGAGAGATAGAGATGATTAACGACTGGTTAGAAGCGATCATGCGGGGTGGCGAGTGGATTGTGGGGGAGGAGAGGGGGATCGATTTCAGGAAGGGACGGCTTTGGTATGGGGGTGGGGAGACGATCAAGTTGGGGACCAGTTTTGCGCATCGATGAGATGGCGAACACGAACGAACACTGAGGCTCCCAATTCGACTGCCAACGAGCATAATGACAAACTACGATACTTTCCACGGCTGGAGGTGAAACAAACTACCTTCTAAATATCCCCCTCTGTCCATATTTTTCCCCAGCTCGGCTGCAGAGTAGAACCATCCCACCTTTCGACGGACATGAATGAGAGAGAGAAATAAAATTGTTCTTCTTGTGCGAGGCCTCTTAGACCCTCTAGTGAACTCTAAGCTTTTAAGGGGGACTTGAGAGAAGTCAGAGACGGCGCCGAAAAAGGCAGAATGGGTCTGACGGACTCAAACGAATATATAGCTCAGAAACTGCTATGTATTGGGCAAGTCTGTAGTAGTAAATAACCCGTATTACCCAAGCTGGGTGCAAGGGGTATAGAATATGGCACTGACCAGTGCTGATGACGATGACGACAACGAGGACGCTGCTCTACACAGCAATCGTTCTAGACAATCCTTTTTGGTCCTCACCGCCACAACGCCTTGGCCATGACGCTACAAACGGATGAAGCGACAACGATCTCGGTGTACAAAAAGGAAATCTAATCACAACTTCGAAGACTCCGGCGCCAGCTCCCTCGCCATCTCCTTAACCTCTTCTTCGAGATTCTTTGTTTCAGCATGAGGATCATACATCTTGCTTCTGATCCACTCCTCGAGCTGCTCATCGTCCATCTCACGTAAATGGTGCAGGCGATCCACGTTATCCTTTTGAGCTGCGCGGATCACGAAGCGAGTAACACGGACGCTGACTTCACGAATCCGAGTAATATCGGGGTAGAGACATGCCATATTGATCTCTTCCTGGGTAAGTGCGGTGGAGAGAGATTCGCCCGAAGCATACACCATGTTATCGGTGACTTGGATGGCTCTCGAGAGAATGGTGCCGAGTCCAATACCAGGGAAAACGTACATGTTGTTTCCCTGGCCAGGACGGAGGGTCTTTGTTTCACCAGTACTGGAGGTGAAGGTGTAGGGTGGGAATGGGGAGCCGGAGGCGAATAAAGCGCGGCCGTCGGTGTATTTGATGGCCTCTTCGAATGTGCATTCGGATTTTGACGAAGGGTTGGACAGTGGGAAAATAATGGGGTGTTTGTTCCATTGACCCATCTTGGTGAGGAGCTCTGGGGTGAAGGCTCCACCTATAGTGCTGAGACCCATAATGATGGTGGGTTTGACATGTTCCATTACTTCTTCAAGGGACTTGAACTGTTGGCCGTCGTTATCGTTGCGAGAAAAGTAGACTTTGTGGTCAGCAAGCTTGTCGCCACGATCTGACGTGACGAGACCTTTAGAGTCGACCAGGTAGAAGCAGGAACGAGCTTCGTCTTCAGTAAGCCCTTCATGCATGAAATACGCGACAATTTGCTTGGCAACTCCGACACCAGCGGAACCAGAGCCCAGGAAGACTGCACGATGGTCGCGGGGAGAAATGCCGCTTTGTTGTACAGCGCCGATAATGCCACCCATAATGACAGCACCAGTCCCCTGGATGTCATCGTTGAACATGGCGTAGTCATCCCGATACCGAGCCAGAGAAGGAAATGGGTTCTTCCAGTCTTCGAACTGAATGACAATGGCTGGCCAACGCTCTTTCAGAGCCATCATCAGCTCATCCAGAAACTCTTGCTCTTCTTGGGCCGTAACCTTGTCTCTTCGGCTGCCCATGTACAACGGGTCCTCTTGGAAAGCTTTGTTACTGGTGCCAAGGTCGACAGTCAGGGGCAACGTACACTCCGGTCGGATACCAGCGCAAGCGGTGTATAGTGCTAATTTGCCAATGGGTATGCCCATGCCATTGACACCTAGATCGCCGAGACCAAGAATTCTTGAGCCGTCAGTAATGACCGTGATCTCAACACTCGGCTGTGGCCAGTTCTGAATTATGGATGCGAGGTGTCCACGGTCTTCGAAGCTAAGATACATGCCCTCAGCTTGCTGATATATTTCTGACCACCTCTGACAGGCTTCACCAACAACTGGAGTGTAGATCATTGGTGTCAATTCCTAGGGCAATGAATTAGCATGAGGTTTGACAGCATCCTCAAAATTTTGTGCGAAGAGAGCACTTACCCGGAGATGATCGGTCATCAGCCTGTAGAACAAGTGGACGTTGTTCTTTCTCAATGCGCTCAAGTAAAGGAATCTGTCGATATCCGTGGTCTTGAGGGCTAATTGTCCCAGACCTAACCTCTATTAATGACTTTGCTACCCTCAGCCATGCAGCATAGCTCACATCTCGCTTTCTGGGTCTCGTAGCTCTCGACTCGAGGTGGCGTCAGGCCATATGACTTAAGGTACTTGCGTACAGGAATAGGGAGGGAGGTGTCGAGGTGAGTGCTAGGATAAGGAGGTTAGCTAAGAGCAGAAACTGTGGGAGCACCTCACTGACTTTGGGACGAGAGTGTGCATAGCAGCATGAGTATGACTGGCTCTTTGGGAGCGGTGAGAGGTGATATCCCCATTGAGTGCATTTTTCACTGAGATAGGGAAACCTTGAGGACTCGGAGGATCTACCATAAGAGAACCCATTTTGGCTGATTTGCTGGTGGATGATAGCGAACGTCGTCCTTTAGATAGAGCAGCCAGTCTGCGCAGCATGTGGGCCCCTTTGTATAAACATTGACTAGGTGGATGCCCTGGCCGGGTGAAATCGGAGCATCAGGACTCCTAAATTGCGGAGTTAGGACTGAAAAGCGGATTGATGGCAGTTTTCTCGATTTGACCCATCGGGGAGCCGGATGGAAACTCAAGGACTTGTCGGACAATGTTGGATCGGCCAATTGAGCAACCTATGAACACGCAAGTCCGGTTGAGGGCGAGGGTAAAGGAGAGGATGCCTGACTGCGCAGCTGAGAAAGAAATAGTTGAGGCCCGAAAGCTATTGAGAAAGGAAGTAAGTAAGCTTCAAAGTTGTCGCGGCCTCCAGTACGTAGTATATTGCTCGGTCCTTCGGTCTCCGATCCACCCCGAGAATGGAGCCCGCTAGTTGGTTGAAAAACTCTCTTCCGGGAGCACCCTGGGGCAAGCCACAGTTAAGCTTTCTTACTTTTTCTTCCATCTTCAGCTCATGGCAAAGTTCTGCTCAGAGTTCGCTGCGGAGTCACTGATCAGACAACCATATCTGATTCTTTTAATGATGATGCAGAGGCCAGCAATGGACGTTCTCCTGTTCGAGGAGCTCTGCTCTCACCATCAAATCTTGTCGTCTCCATGAGAAGTTGGTCTTGGTAGGCACGCGACATTCGCTTTCCCAGCTGGCGGCAGAACATCGGTCCAAGTTAACCACGTAGTAAGGAAGCTCCGGTCCCATTGTTGCGGTACTACTACTACTACCAAGTCACTATGTCCTTCAAAGAACAATCTTGGCAGGAAATTGTGTTAAGGGCTATTCATTGGTTATTCCCCAACGCGAAATTCCCTCATCAATACCATCATCATGTTCACATAGTTGCTCTTTCATGTAACCTGTAGGTTCCGATCCACTCTCGGTTGGACTGTGTCAAGACGTATTCCAGGTTACTGCAAGTTCCTCAACAGGTGATGTCATCCCGTCACAAAAGGTGTGTGTCGTGTGTGTGACGCAGGTTACAGCTCCTTCGATGACTACTGCTACGATCACCACCACCTCAACAACACTTGCACTCTCGTGAAGCCACGAAAGCATTTTCAATTGTCTAAAGTGCTCTGCAGTTCACCATGTCCTCTTGCTGTGGCTTCGGACGGAAGTCCAAGAGTGGAGACACTGAGCCTTTGCTCCCTCGATATGAAGATGATACGGCAAGGCAACGCACGCTGCATCAGAAATTGCATACATATCAGATGCTCAGAGCTTTATCCAAAGGCTACATGCCGTCTACCGAACAAACGATCATCAATCTCCGCACCTTGTTAGCCTCAGATGTTCTCAACCCAAATAACAAAGACCTCAGCCAATCAGGCCGACGGCTGGTTCGAAGTTGTCGGGAATGGCTGAAACAGTTCATTGAACTACTACAACACAAGAACAGCAATGATCGGATACAGGATTTTATCTGGCACTTGACAAAGGCGCGCGTCTCCCTTGATCTAGAAGACATCTCGCAACAAGCCTCCAAAGCAAAAGCGAAAGCAGATGTTTCTGCAAGTAGGTAGACCCACTCCTAGTAGAAGAGCTCCAACCTGACAACATATTGCAGCATACTCAAGTCTACGTACAGTAGGTAGCTTGCTTCTCACTAACAAAGATTTTCGCATCTTCGTCGACGATCTCAGCACCATTGGACGCCAAATTCTTTCCGATACTGCATTTTCTCTTTCCGGCGCCGCAGAGGAAGCAGGCAAGAAGCTTGAGCCGTCAGAGGATCAGGCACAAGCAGTCAAAGGTGCCGGTGCTGATGATGGTGTTAAGACGCCAACTAAGGACGATGTCGTTCATGAAGCTGAAGAGGTTTCCAAGGTGCTAGCCAATGGAGTCGGAAAGGTTGGCAAAGATACTGTTGCCAGCGCAAAGGAGCACGTTTCTGGTGAACAGAAAGAAACGCTTGTTCACAGGTTGAAGCAAACAGTCGTCGGATTGCGAAAGCGCACCGACTATTCAGACTCGGTCTCAACCATCGCTAAACTCATTCAACGATATGCTATTCTCTACTCGAGAGCAGCAGATGCTACTATTGCGACGGCACAAGATGATGTGTATACAAATCCTGCACTTGATCGTGCCGTGCGTAACTTCTGGGACTTAGTAAGCAGCTTTGGCGATCGTGAAGAGTGGAAGAAACTGGAGGAAGATTTCAAACAGGTCATGGGGCACGCTCAAAAAGACCCCCAGTTCGAGCATTTCATGCAAGATGTTGGCAACTCTGTTCAGAAAATGTTGACAGACCCGGACTTCTTTGACCATGCCGACAAGAAGCTCAACGAGCTTCAGGAAAAAGCATCTCAACTTGGGGATGAGTCCGACTTCAAGAGCGACCTTGAAACGTTCTTCCGGCAATTGAAAAACACTGTGCAGTCGGTCTTTGAGGACGAGGATGTCTCCAAGCTGATTGTATCCACTCGCAAGATATTTGATACCATTTCACCTGCGAATCGTGTCACCAATCCCGACTTGGTGATGGACAGCTTGAATATCTTCCTACCACTTCTTATCAGAGGTGTTCAAAATGTGCCGATCCCTCGTCTGGAGGTGTCTATCCCAGAGATGGATCTTCTACTGGAAAACTTGATCATTGAGCCCGGCCGAACGGTGAACAACACCTCTTTCCTACCTTATCGAATGATTGTCACGACCCGTAATGATCTTGACATACGAAAGGCACATTCGAAGCGCACTGTTTCCTCGCTCACCTCCCTGATCACGGTAACTATCAATGGCCTTTCTATATCAGCACAGGACCTTGGCTTTTGGATCCGAGTGCACGCTGGATCATTCTTCCGCTTCAATGACGAGGGAATCGCCAGCTTCGCCTTGGACGAACGGGGAATCGATCTCACGCTTGATCTTGAGGTAGGTCGCGAAAGACTCGAGCAAATTTTGACCTTGCGTGGGGTCAAGGTTCACATCCATAAGCTTGACTATGCTCTACGAAAGAGCAAACTCTCTTGGCTAGGTTGGCTCTTCAAACCATTCCTCAAGCAAATCATTCGACGGGCTTTGGAGAAGACGCTGGCTGAGTCAATCGCAGATGCCTTGCATGCTGCCAACCGGGAATTGGTTTTCGCAAGAGAAAGGCTGCGTGCAACGCGTATCGCAGACCCACAAGATCTGGCAACCTTCATCAAGGCTGTCATCACGCGTTTGACGCCAGCCGAGGATCCTGATGTGTACACCCGCGTAGGTGTTGACGCCCCGGACAGAGGTGTTTTCAAGAACGTCTACACGCCTGGATCGGTTGTCAAGCTGTGGCATGAGGAAGCCATGCGAGCAGAAGAAGCAGTGGAAGATGGAGGAGAACAGACCGGGGGATGGAGGAATGATATATTCGACGTCGCCGTGTATTGAGGGGGACAAAGTGCTCAGCGCTGAGCATTCGTAGGAGTGTGGCTGAAGCCTGGAGCTCCAAGGTCGCTCTCTACCTTTCACGGCTTTTGCCTTCGTCTGCTTGTCCATTTTTGTCCATTGGTCTCTGCCTCAAAAGTTTCCACACCTGCATCCCAGGCTTACTATTATCGACAATCCTCTACTAGCAGGGTGTCCACCTAGCGCGATTTGCGAGTCGTACCATTACCTTCTTTTGTACTTAGGTTAACTGCGCCGTCGTCTGATATCAAAGAGACGAATGCAATAAATCCAAGTCTCAACACTGCATCTTTCTTCGACGGCAGTCTTTTCGCCAGTCATAGACCTTCCCATTAGGGTTTAAGTCATTATTCTACCCCGAATAGTCGTAAGCGGCAGACGTGTTGAAGTGTCTGCCGCGTTTTGCACCGGTTCACTTCTCCCCAAAAGTCTTGCAGCTTCCCCACCCTCCACCCCCAGCCTCTCACGCTTCTCCAGATCTGGGGTGTATTTCCTATTTGCCCCAGCCAGAAGACTTAGTTATCATGGAGACATGCAGCGAGCCCGAGGCTCAAGCCAGGGTGTATGACGCACAACTCGAAACGGTGCATATGTCTCTTTCCCAGGATGTTCGGCAATTGTCTTGTTACCCCATTGCTTCCTCTTTGTAGGTGCATTGCTCCATCAAGATGGAGAGAGACGTGAGCGCTGTGAGCCAGAAGCCTGCCATCAACCAGGCTGGAACTGAGGATGCCCGTCCTGTTCGTCGAGAATCTGAGAAGCACAAGGGAACTCATGTTCCATTTGTACACAAAGACAAACACCCTGATCCTGAGTGGGATGGCAGCGAAGTGGATTTCAGTAACATCAGCAAGAGAAAGGTTCTACGCAAAATGGACATCAGGCTCATTCCCAATTTGGCATTGCTCTACTTGTTGAGTTTCCTGGACAGGGGCAATATTGGGAACGCAAGGATCCAGGGTCTGACGGAGGATCTTCATTTGACCGGTGCACAGTACAATTGGTGCTTGACCGTGTTCTTTTTTACTTACTGTCAGTCTGGCATCTATCAAACAGCGCCTTTCACGAAACGCTCGCTTCAAATGCTAACGGTCATGGATCAGGTGCTTTCGAACCTCCAAGCAACCTTCTGCTCAAACGCCTTCGTCCTTCCGTTTGGTTACCCACTATCATGGTAGCATGGGGTATAGTGATGACCTTGATGGGTACAGTGAGCAACTACGCTGGCCTTTTGTCTACCCGTATATTCCTTGGGATTGCTGAAGCTGGTCTCTTTCCCGGTGTGGCCTATTTTCTGTCAGGTTTGTCGATGCCCTAACCACAAACTCTACAGTCCTGACTGACTGCTGCAGAGTGGTATGTCCGCGAGGAGATGCAGTATCGACAGGCTCTTTTCTTTTCAGCTGCCAGCGTTGCTGGAGCCTTCAGCGGCCTGCTTGCCTTCGCAATCGCAAAAATGGACGGCGTTGGCGGATACGCTGGCTGGCGCTGGATCTTCATCCTCGAAGGACTACTTACTGTCGTGGTGGGAGTTCTCTCCTTCTGGACCCTTTACGACTTCCCGGATACCGCCTCATTCCTCTCCATCGAAGAGAAGGCATGGGTCATACATCGGTTACGCTACCAAGGGGTCTCTCCTGAAGCCAAGAAGGTCGCTCAGGCCAGCAGGTTTCAATGGAGATATGTGAAGGCTGCTTTCGTAGATCCGCAGATCTATATCGGGCTTATCAGTGAGTGATTCTACGTCGCTTACTCCCGGAGAAGTACTCACTTGGAGCAGTGTACTGGGGAATTGTCGCTCCGCTGTATGGAATCTCCTTCTTCCTTCCAACCATCATTCGCGACCTTGGCTACACAGCATCCGCCGCTCAACTCCTAACAATCCCCATCTATATAACCGCGGCCGCTATTGCCATTATCAGTGCCTACTTCTCGGACCGCCACGGCCAACGTTCCCCCTTTATCCTCTTCTTCATGGGCATGATCGCCGTCGGGTTCGTCATCGTTCTCGCCTCAACCGGTCGCGGGGTACCTGGCGTTGTGTATGCTGGTGTCTTCGTTGCCGTTGCGGGGATCTATCCCGCTTTTCCTGGGAATATTACCTGGATCAGTAACAACTTGGCAGGAAGTTACAAGAGAGCGGCCGGTATGGCTATACATATCGGAGTAAGAATCCTCCTTTACCGGGTTTCTTCCTATCAAGTACTGGAAGCTAACAAGCTGTCTCAAAACTAGGCCGGAAATCTTGCAGGAGCCATGGCAAGTAATTTCTACCGCACTCAAGACGCCCCGAACTATTACTTGGGCCACTCGCTGGAGTTGGGCTTCTGCGTTGCGGGTATTATAGCCGCCGTCGCTCTGAGAATCGGTTATGACCGAGTCAACAAGCGGCGTGATGCCAAGGGCACGGGAGAAATGACTCAGGAGGAATTGAGCGACCTGGGCGATAAATCACCCTCGTTTAGATATGTCCTATAGAAGTAGAAGGTTGTACGTCAAGGGATTATGTAAGACGGCGGATAGGAGAAGCTGGTTTGGGGACGCGGCAGTTGTTGTTTGACTAGTAAGCCAGGCCCAAGCAGACGGTGGTTGAATACTCTCCTGGAAGACCAATTTCCCAATGTTAGGGTCTCACGGAACGTAAAACAGTGTCATTCTTGTGAATCTTGGAAGACATTAACCAGTATGCTTGACAGCTCTGAATTTCCAGATTGTGGAGAAGGTGTGACTTGCTCCAGTCACCCGCAATATCGACATACTAACTAATCTCCGACCCTCCCTTCCGCAATGTTCTGGTAAATATAAAGGACGTTAGAAGGGTCGTAGGATATCATATGAGGAGAATTGCCCAAGTCCGGATGCAACGGATTAGATTTGTTGGATGCAGTGAGAGCATGGTATGTAAGTACCGGTAAAGGCTCCCTGCAGTCTGCAGTAGCACTGGACCTACTAGGCTGTTCACATTTGATTCTTGAGGAGCATAGGTGGCGGCGAACATCATGCCAAGACTCCATCTCGTCTTTTTTTCTCTGCCGAGTTCTCGCTTTGTGACACAACTGCCTTCATTCATTGACTCTGGAGCCATTGCTGAGATTGTTTATCACCGATGTTGTAGGAGTTTAGCTCGTCTATCAGTGGTATCACGTCCAGAAGAGCCAAATGCAGCTCGATCCCATGACGTTTGATCAGTTTGCAGGTATTCCTGGCGGCCAACAGCACTCGATCCACCTCCTCACCCATCGCAAGCCAGCGGATAGGTGCATCGATGCGAGATTCGGATTTCACTATGCACCGCTACGAAGGCCATATCCGGTATTTCATCTTGTGCACCTTTACACTACGCTTCGTGCTACAAGTAAAAGTCCTTAATATGAGCGCCACCTCTTTGAGTGCGTGAAATGAGCCAGACAGCGTATGTGAGGGTGAGCTGTCTCCAGCATCTGCACATATCCCATTAGCGTCCTAGGGCTTTCCCTTTCCACATGCAGCTGCCATCTAAATGATGGTTGTGTTGTGCAGTCATCCTACCTGCTCCCCATGACTAATGCTAGGTGCGAGCACCAACTTTGAAATTGGACTAATTCTACCCTCCAAGATCCATGGTTCTCAGCAGATGTGGCGTGCTTGGATGTTTGATTTGTGTGGTCCAGCAGCCTTACTGGGCCTTTCTTTCTATGCTTGGAGACTATGCAATGGGCCATGCCCCCAAAGGCCTGCCTGTCACGATCTTAATTGAGCCATTTTGCATTGTGGCCCTAATCGGGCAGCATTTCTATGCCGTTCATCACACCTTTGCGCTTCACAATGTTTTAATGGTCCAGACCATGTTGAATAGGACTGAACTCCACTTCAATTTCCGTCTGTTCTGAGCCGACGGCTGCTCCTTGCCATGGTGCTTCATGAAAACAAGTGCCGGCATTTCCCTTTACCTCCAAGGAAATAATGCTTTGCCTTCTGGGTAGCGGAAGACTTTTCGAGGATAGCTGCTGTGGTTCGAGAACAATTACAGTGATCTAGTTCATGGGCCTGCTGGTTGATCAGTGACACCTCATATGATCTACGCTGTAACTGTTGCTCGCCCCTTTCAAATTTCATGTTCAAGCACTTACCCACGTCATATACGGTGTCAGTTCCATCCGGCTGTGGCAGCATGCATACACTGGGATAGGGGTCCAATCTGACTCGTGTTGTATGGAAAGAGGTCTTGCGGGCACGTCTATAAGAACGGCGTTTCTGCATAGACTGTCAACCACGCAAAGCATTCTTCACTCGTTTCACATCCATCTGAGGAGCCTGCGCACTCTCTTGATCAATCGTTCGGGATGCATCTCTACGTCTTCGGTGCTGTTGCTTTGAGCATTGCTCTGACTTGTGCTGAGCCAATACCTGGTACGTGTCTTTTCCGTGCAAATACGTTCACAGTCAGAGCATAGCGGTTGCATGATGCCACTATGGAGCTATCTCCTCTCTTATACCAGACGCTCCAACCGACCTCGCGAGCTTCGGTGTTCGTTTAACATATGATTTGGCCTGCTAACCAATCCAGCCTGTTATGGATCGTTGGATCGTCCTTGTGGCAATCAGACAATTACACCTCCAGATCCCATTTCTTCGCTGCCAGCTAGTTCGCAACTTCCTACTTCCAGCAGTCTCCCTTGTTCGGGGTCTGAATGCTCTGTTTCCGTGTCTGCAACGCTCTGTTCAGGGTCAGCTTGCTCTGTTCCTGTGTCAACATGTTCAGGGTCAGCTTGCTCTGTTCCTGTGTCAACATGTTCAGGGTCAGCTTGCTCTGTTCCTGTGTCAACATGTTCAGGGTCAGCTTGCTCTGTTCCTGTGTCAACATGTTCAGGGTCAGCTTGCTCTGTTCCTGTGTCAACATGTTCAGGGTCAGCTTGCTCTGTTCCTGTGTCAACATGTTCAGGGCCAGCTTGCTCTGTTTCTGTATCAGCATCGCTTGATTCTACCTCTTCGGTACCTGCAACTTCAACTTCGCCAGTTTCAGAGTCTTCGACCTCATCAACTATCAGTATTACTTCAACTTCTACCTCTAGCAATATCCCTTGTTCAGGGTCTGCTTGCTCTGTTCCTGTGTCAACATGTTCAGGGTCAGCTTGCTCTGTTTCTGTGTCTGCATCGCTCGATTCTACCTCTTCAGTACCTGCAACTTCAACTTCGCTAGTTTCGGAGTCTTTGACCTCATCAACTATCGGTATTACTTCTGCACCCAGCCAAACCTTTCTCCCACCTACCCCCAGCACTTCTGCTTGTTCTGGCTCAACTTGTTCTCAGTCACTGTCCGATAGCACCAGCTCTAATGCGACCAGTACAAGCACCTACAGCAGTCAAGGAACTCCAGCTACTACCTTGACGGCTGATAGCACTGGCTCCATCATCGTGGCTAGTAGCAGTTCATCATTGTCTCGGTCCTTGGAACCCATTAGCAGCATCGGGCCTTCCTCTACAAGCTCTACCACCACTTCCAATTCTGACTCTCCATCAGACGTGACGATTCCCTCTAGTCTGCCTAGTGTATCATCCACAGAGTCCTCTGGAGGCACAGCACCTCCATCACTGACCCCTACAGCGAGTCTTCCCGCCTCAGCAACAATCTCCGCTTCCATTTCGACTTCGGCTTCTGCAATTACCCAGTCCATCTTGACGTCAGTGATTGGGGGCACAACTTACGTCGTTGTTCTTGTACCGGCTACAGAGCAGTCGTCGTTACAACCTACAAGCAGTTTGACTGTGAGCGGCTGTTCGGATTCTCCACTCGGATGCACAAGTTCTTACCAGAGTTCCACCACCGCAGTTGACACTCCTACCGAAATTAGCATCCTTCCCGTGCCTTCGACTTCAAGCATCTCTGGTAGCGCTGCCGGGACTGCCCAAACTCTGAGCATCTCTAGCAGTACAACAGGGACTGCACCAACTTTGAGCAGCTCAGGCGGTACTATCAGCACTGTAACAACTCTGACCCCTGTCACTTCTGGTAACACCACCAGCAGTACACTGACGCCGGACGTCCCTGAAAATACTGTTGGCACTATAATAACTCTGACTTCTGTTGTTTCTGGCAGCAGTACCAGCATTGCGTTAAGTTTTACTTCAAGCATCTCGGGCAACACTACCAGCAGCGCACCATCTCTGACGCTTAGCAGCTCCGGTAGTACAATATCTACAGGACTCACGACTGGTGTTTCATCTACCCTCCCATTGCCATCTCCAGAGACACCAGAGTCTTCAGACGCTCCCGTCTCAAATTCGATATCTTCATCATACTATTCTGTTTCCTCTTCCACTAGCCTCAGTGCCACTACGACAGCCTCAACTACACCCACATCGCAAGTTGGTGATGGTGATACTGATGCTTCGAGCATTACACCCTCGTCGGCTTCGCAGGTCAGCGGAACTTCCCAGGGGTCTAGTACTACATCATCCTCCGCAAACACGTCCACCGCTTCATCCGATAGTTCGTCCATCTCCCAGTCACCTGTGACAATAGCCAGCAGCCTCTCCACTAGCTGCACGGATTCAACTGCGACCGAAGGCACCTCATCTTCGCCATCTTCTGGCTTGGACTCCAACCTGTCTCCTAGCATGACCAAGACATCCACAATCCAGAGTATTCCGTCGCCGCCGACATCTTCTTCCAACTCCGGTGTGTCTGAGCTTCCGACTACAACACTTGTAACAACGCTGTTGACCTCGACCAAGCCGACAGGCAGTTCAGCTAATCAAACTTCATCTCTCTACACTTTGTCCTCGACTGGTGATGCAACAACCCCACCATCAACCCATTATGGATACGGTGTTTCGACACCCAGCAACACAGCCAACACTGAAACATCCGCTGCAGATGAAGACGCCTCTCGCAGCATCTGGGGGCAATTCGTAAGTTTGATCTTCGATCTTCGATCAAGGTCTCGAAGGGTTTCGGACCTTCTCTCAATCTCTTGCTCGAACAATTCTTCCCCACACCTAGGGTTTCTCAACACTGGACTATACACAGTCTGCGTCGTCTATCGCTTATCTCCTTGGTGTCCTGACGTATAAATGCTGACCTATCGTTCTACTCATCTAGGTTGACTGGCTGTCAGATAACAACAGCAAAAACAACAACAACAACAACAACAACCAGAATCGCCAGCCTGGCTCCTCTACTCCCCGCCGCCACCGCTAAGGGCGAGTATGGAATCTACAGCTTCGAGATGGACTTAGTTGACCACCACACCAGACCAATCATGCATTCGACCGGAGCTGGAAGGGGAACCTATCATTGGAGAGAAAAAAAGGCAGAAGAAGTTCTAGCGGAGCGGTGCTAAAAGGCGTTCCTTGTGCAGATGATGGAAGAGGCCTAAGCTGAGGTGCTGGCCTGGTGTGAGATGAGAAGAGATGATTGATGGGGGCGGACCGATATTTTCTTCTTCACTTCTCAACACTCCTTTTTGACAACCTTTGTACCTTTACTTAAAATCAAAAACCGCAGAAAAGAATCAGATTAGTTTTCTCTTGTCGCAACCACACAATCCTGCCAAGTCAAATGGAAGTTCCCCATCCCCCCTTTTTTTATTCCGCCCTCAGATCTCCGAAGTTCAAGCAGAGTAGTAATCTGCACAACTTCTCCTCCGAAGATCACAACCACAACCACATGCACATGAATCCGCCATGTATTGCTATATAGTCCTTGCACAGACCGGACCGGCCTCCCACTCCCTCATTTTCATTCTCGGTTTCCCCCCATTTCACAATTCCCTCACATATTCATATATGCATGCATGCATGTATTTATGTATATCAGGTTGAATTTACCGCGTCCGATACTGCTGGATATGATATACGTAGTAGAACTCCCCCTTAGCGACTAACTACTGATTCCACGGTCTTGAAAACCCTACCCCTGCCTTCGTCCGTTCTTCTGCTCCTTTTTCTTATCCCCCTCCGTCTCCCCAACGGTAGGACGCTAGTCATGGTAGTTCGGTCTGCTGGTTAGTTGGGTCCTGTTCCGCTTTCTCTTCTCTTCTGTTGGAAGCGTCGTGGGGGGAGGAGAAGAGAGGAGACTTTGCGGTCTGACGGGAAGGTAGGGAGATGAGAGCGAGAGGAGAGGGAGAGGGTGTGAGTTAGGGTACTAACCAGCACTTGGTTATGCATAAGCATGATGTTGATGAAGATATCATAGAAGCGACGCCTGTCGCCTGTATGTCAGAAGAAGAAGAAGAAGAAGAAGAAGAAGAAGAGGCTCTGCTTCAAGAAGCACGCTCCAACTCCGTATCAAACTTGACATCAATGCGGAAGTTCTTGTAAGGAATTTCATTATCTCGTTGGCAAAAAGACGAGCACTAACATTCCAGGCCAGACTGAAGCGGCTCAGTGTACTGATTCTACTCTCGTAGCTGAGGCGGCTTTCTCTTCAGTTTTGATATAATATCATATCTCCGTCCTGCCAAACTCGCGCTTTCCCGTCTTTCAACCACACCCGCAGCCGGTGCCCCATCCGCCCTCACATGCCTCACACCAGCTTGTGTCTACAACTCATTCATTCGCTTCTCCCTATCATTCAACCCCTTGAACAGCCACTAAAAACACCAGACTAGCAATAGCTAGTACCACCGCTAATCCAGTATGCATCCATAATAAGTCGGGATCCTGGGCCGAGAGACTCAGCGCAATGCCCAATGCGGCGCCGAATGCGTTGGTCAAGAGGAAAACAGACATGACGAACGACTTGGTCGATGCAGGGGCTTTTGTACAAGCGTATTCGAGGCCGTTGATGCTGGCGAACATCTCAGAGGCCAATCAAGAGGTATGCGGGTTTTTGGACAGTAACGTGGATTTGGTTGTGGATTGCACCGTCGTTACTGCCGGTACATTCTAGAAGTGCCGTATAGTACGGTGGGGAGGTGTAGATGAGGTGTTGCACAATAGCGGCGTAAGCCATTGCTAAGGCGGCGAAGATGAATACAAATGCGATGCGAGTAATGGGTTTGAAGGGGATGCCTATCTTCCGAAGATCCGGGTACACGGCGCGGTCCACGATGGGATTGGGGATGATAAAAGTCAAGGGGTCGACGTTTTGCATGATGTTGTTGGGAATGCGGTGGAGTTGCATATTGGCCGGGCTGGGAGATGAAGCTGCTGAGCATTCAGCCGTAGACGAGCCGATAGACGGGAAAGAAAACGAAGACTCGGCAAGCAGTGAGGGCTCGTTTGATCTCGAGGATGAAATGTTCGTCCCATTGGACGGTGGAGGAGCCGCCATTGTGGTCTTGGAAGGACGGTTTGGCGGCGTACATATTAAACTTGTAGGTGAGACCAATCCAATTGCTTTGAAGGCGTGAAGGATAACTGACCCACGTGGCGGTCGCTGGACGTAGTGTTTCTTGCCCACGAGGAGGACAATAAAGCCTACAAGGAACAACCACAACGATAGAGGATAGGCAGCCCAGATGTGGATATGTAATTCCGTCTCTGTCGTCGCGATTGAGGAAAGAGAGCCCATGTTGATGCAAAGATAGAAGATCATGTAGATGTGCTGAATTGTGATGGCGGGATAGACGATTGCTTTTTCTCTTGATTTCAGGACTTTGATCTTTTGTTTGGTGTTGGTGTATTGTTCAGCGATCAGTCGGCTCACGTTCGACTTGATACCTCCTGTTCCAAGACCTATTTCAATCATGGCCGCATTGAGTCCTCCCAAAGAAGCGCCACCTGTAATAGGGGCGGGAAGCGCTGTTGTGACGAGTATGAGCAGATCAAAATCGTAGACGATAGCAAAGTAGAGAATAGTATTGTATTTCCCAAGGTACTGATCAGCCATGATCGCACCGAGAATGGGTGTGACATAACACCAAAACTAAGTTCGGGATTAGCAGGAGATAGGATGTATGCCAGTTTTCGAGCGACCCTGAAAGAAGCTACTCAAGCCTGTAACTCGTCTTTGGCCCAAATCGATTGCACCTGGTCCGGCTGGATCTCTGTAGGGTGTTTGAATGTAGTTCTTGATATATGTCAGATTCTCTATACATGGTAGAACTCGACTTGGATAGAGCTCTCGCCTGGAATAGACCAGTCAAGCCATAATAAGCAACACGTTCGCACAACTCCACCAGCGCTACCAAGAAGGCAGACCATGACAGCTCGTCTGCCACGTTGCGTAGCGTTTGTCCTTTTTCTTCAGTGGGTACATGTGCATCATTGGTATCTGAGCTCTCACAGTGGCCTTCCCTCTGATCCGTACAATATGGCTGCTTGATGACATCAGTCGCCTCTATCCCGCCAGCTGTAGCTTGGTGACTCCGCTTCGGGGGTTCGAATGCGCCAGGCGGTCGCCGAAAGCTTGTCAGTAACTCAGGATAGCCTGCAAGATCTCCGTGCGGTCGCTCATATTGACAGCGGCAAGCGCATTGGAAAAGTGATGTCAATATGGAGGTGAATGTGTGTGTATTGATATCACATAAGGAGGACGGAAAGGGACATGAACAGGTGGAGGTGGAGGACAAGGATAAGCAGATCAGAAACATGGACCGTGACTGTGGTGTGCTGAATATGGGGAGGTTCACTCTGGCAAAGAAATACCGCGTGGGTGGCAGTATAAGGAGTGGTGCTCCATTGCATGTAACCCTTCATGCCGCTCCCCACCAACGTCTCCCGGCACTGTCGCGTCAACTCGACATTCTTCAGAGGTGAGAAGCTCCGTTAAAATTACGGGAAGACCTCAAGAGCTGGCCCAGAGCGCATCTCGGCAAAGAGAGAGCACGTTTGGCAATTCCTCGCTGAAGCTTACAGGGCTCTTTCCACCGCTTATCCATGAATATGCATAGTGATCATCCCTTCAAGCCGCCACAAGTATCCTGTAGTCATCTTCTATGTGCGTCCAACAAACGGACTGCTGCGACGTTTTATTAGAGCAGCACCATCCCTGCCAGCCCTGACATGAGTGTACAGTGTGGCGATGTTAGATGCCGAAGCTTGGAGCTGAGGTGTCACAAACAGCGAGACATGCCATACCAATTGTATCATTGGGGACTGCCCCTGCCCCTGCCCCCCTCAAGCATTGCCGAGCTCAAGGAAATGCTGCTCTGTTCTGGCTAACTACAGCCAACAGTTCCATCTTCACCAGCCATGCCGGAGTCCCTACAAGATCTGATCAACACAGCTGGCTGGCCTGGTAGAGTCATATGAAGGAAAAGGAATATGAAGTGAGCAGCTGGGGAAGAGCTAACTGGAAGTCTGGTGGGTCAAGAAATTGGTTGTGTGTATGGTCATTGCTCTATGCCTACGCCGTCGCCATGCAGTTGATAGGGCCCACCTATCCAAGTAACACCAACGTCCATGACTGTCCTTCGCCGACCCATGCTCGCTAATCCAATGCCAGCCTGTGCGAGTAGAAAAGTGGACCTCTGGTCACCTCACAGTCCTCCTCCATTCCCAACCCAGTTCCTCCACTCACACCCACAACCTCCCGTTCCTCCATCAATCCCTCCTGCCTTCGCATCGAAGCCATCGTCATCGCCCGCGGTGTTCGAAAAGATACCCGGCGCCGCATTGATCAGCCGGCCCCCAGCGTCTCGAAGCTCAGCCACCAATTTCTTTTCACTGACCACGATCTTCTGTTGTCCATCCATGCTATAGCAGTATACCCCCTTTTTGGCAGCGTCACCACCATGACGATCTAAAGTCACGCTCACGGGATAGGGGAAGCTGCCGGGACGACTAAAATCGGTTGCAGATGACTTTCCACTGTTCGAATCGCCTCCCTGGCGGGGGTTGGCCGGCCCTGAAGACGTTGCAGTGCCATTCGCAGAAGGCAAGAGTTGCCCACCAAACCTCGCGTTCGTCCAGATCTGCACCAGAAATCTTGTCTGTGCCCATGTACATCTCAGATCCGCATCTTGCTTGGATGAGCCACCTGCTGGGCGGTTGGGATTCTCGTCCCTGCTGTTCGCGGATGACGATGAGGAGTTGAATTCAGCGGAGCTCTTGATAAAGATGCTTCGGTCGAAATAGGTGTAGAAGCCATAGTGCTCGCTTTCTAAGCCACGATTGTAGAGCATGACAGGCTGACTGAAGGGTAGCGGGTTGTTCGGTAGCAAGTTTGCCGGTGCCGCTGTGCCGTCCACCAGTACTGCAGGAGCAGGAATGCTGCCTGGCCCGGATCCACCTTGACGTCTCACGCGTCGTGTTGGAGACTGGTTGGTGTCGTTGAAGGATTCTGGCACCGCCGGATCGCTCGTGAGAAGAGTGAGAAAGAATGGTGTAGGCTCACCGCTGAAGGGGACGGTGATATTATCGGTGGTGTTGCCAATGAATTCTTGCTCGGCTAAGCTAGGTGGTGCAGGGTTAGGCGTAAAGAGCGAATTGGTGAACGGGTCCTTCTGCCGCTTCACCATGGCCATACGTGGCAGGTTGATTGCGCGTTTGTCGTTAGCACTGGCCACGGGTACAGTTCCATTGGCGTTCACGGTACCGTTTCTGAACCTGATCTCTAGCCTGAAGTTGGGCTGGTCAGGGTTACTAGGTGCATTGCTTGCTTGGTCTTCTTGGGGCAAGGCACAGCTCCAGAATGAGCTTGGCTGTACGCATGCCGTGACTGCGCTTGCGGCATCAGGCCTGGCGATGGTGGAAATGCCTGTGGGCATGGGTGGATATCCAGTAAGGTTCAACCACTGACTCTGCACTGGTGTCTGGTCACCTTTTCGTGTCAGCTGCGTGGCCAGCACGACGGTTAAGATGATCATTAGCACAAGACTTGTGGCGATAACAATATACCACCTCCGCCGTGTCCTGCCTGCCGAGCCTTCTCGGCCGTAGCAGCCACGCTTAGGGATACATCCTCTTCCTCGCCAGAGGCCACCGGCCTTATGCGCCACGGCATCTTCTTGCTCTAGACGTTGTCGCCTAGCTTCTGCCTTCTGACGTACCTCCACAGGATTTTCAATGTCTGCGAGGGAAACACAAGCAGCCACTGGTCGAGGAGGGAGCTCCGCCGGATATGTGGTGTTGAAGTTGACAAAGGTGGGAGCGGGTTGCTGGACCTGCGCCATCGGTATTCCTCCACTCAGATTAATAGCTTTATGCGCCTCTGGAGACAATGGTCCAGGAGAGGAGGGCATGAATTGACGATCTGGTGGCATTATACCCACATACCGTGGAACAATTGGTTTCGCGGGAGGTGGAGAATAGGGTGGTGGTGTAGAAGATTTGGGAGCAGGAACCTCAGCTTCGTCGGCAGCTGTGACAGCTACCTGTGTTTTCTGTTTCTCGTCTAAATCATTGTTCGGTGATGCATTGACCTTCTGAGCCTGGGCCGCTTTCAGAAATGGTCTTGCATGTGCTTTACGCACATTTGGCGAAAGTTCTATCGGGTCATCCTCGATTATGGTCGAGTCACTATCTGACCGCAAACGAGTTTCCTCAGGCGGCGAAGACGGCTCGACTATGTGTTTGTTCATTGAGGCCTCGGTTTTCAAGCCTAAGTCATCGTTCGGATCTTCCGCTAGCACAACGCCTTTTGGAGAGCCACCTAGTTTCGGAAGTGCATTTGCACAATCGTGATTGACACATTCAAAGTAGGGTATAGGATCTAGCAGATCAAATGCACAGGCTTGATAGTACTCTGCTGCAAGGCCTGATTTCTTAGCGCAACCGTCAACCGGGACTGGGCGACTGTGATCTGGTTCGCCGTGGAGGATTGTTTTGGTGTCCGTCTCTTCAGCACATTCAGAGGATTGTTGTGACGCCTGAGCTTGCTCTCTGTCTTGTTCCCATTGAGTCCAATTCGACCAGGTGCTATTCCTGATGCTCCCAAGCCCTGCTCTTCTTGGAGTTTCAGGTGATATGTCATCTGTCGGAGTCTGTTCGTTCAGACCCAGCCCTCTCCCAGTTGTCGGGGTAATGCACGGAAGAGCTGGGACTTCCTCTGAGGGAGAGATAGCCTTCTTGGTGGCATTAGTGCCAGCTCGGGACAGCATAGGAGAGAGGATCAGATTCCACCATCCCTTTGACCGCGGCCGACCTGTATCACAGCTTGATGGTAAGATGCCATCTTTACTCCCAGCAGAGATAGGCCGGTTTCTGGGTTGTTGTGCGTAGTCCTCCTCGATGATGGTCTCGGAGGAGAAGGGCCTGCCACTGCGTAATGAGCTTGCTTCCCACGTGTCGACCGAGCGCCTGCACGGCTCTGACTGAGGCATCACAGCCTGTTGGTGACAAGATGGCAGCGATGGGACCGGAGGCGCATCAGCATCCTGTTTGTAGGCCATGCCTGGCATTTGCGAATATATACTCGACGCAGGCCTTCTCAGGGAACTCTGCATAGCAGATTGGGTCCAGCCCACCGTGGCATCAGCTGGCGTCACCACAATACTTGGTGTGATAGGTGTTTGCAGAGTTAGCGCACTGCCTGCTTCGTCGCTGGGCTTGTGAGCCTCCACCTCGTTCTCAGGCACGCTGATACCAAAAATGACCGATCGTGCCGTAGGAGAAATCTCATGCGGCTCCTGCTCGGGTGCTTGGAGGTGGTGTGAACCCTTGCTTCGCTCTCTCTTCAAAGGTCCAGCCGGCTCCTTTCGAAAGAGTCTCCGCAAAGCTGGATTAGACAGCGTCTCGACGTTGAAACCATTTTTATCCTGTTCTCCTAGTTCTTGGCTTGCTTTGTAAACATTGGTCTTACATTTCGTTTGCCCTTTCCCGGCTTTAGGCATATTCATGCTCCTCTTGTTTTTCCGTAGCCCTTCCAGATCGTTCAGGTTGATAAAACCAGAATTCGCAAAACGGGCTTCCTCTCCCAAGCTTGGGACGCATGTCTGCGATTCCGCGGTCGACGCACTCTTGCCTTCCCCCCGCTTTGGCTGCCGAACAGGCACTCGGTTTACTGTAGGATGCTCTGCCAGCGCATGCTGGTTGGTTTTCGAAAATTTGGTTACAAGGTTTAGACCTGGCCTTTTCTTTTTGGTATCTGATGCGTTCTGCCCTTGCTGACCATCTCTGCTAGGTTTTCCCGAAATGCCATTCGCAGGACCATTTCTTGTCAATGTCGAGGACTCGCTGTACCTCTCAAGGTGAAACTCATCCTGCCCACTAGTATTGCCGCTTTCGGTCTCACTGAAAGGATTTTGTGAACTGTGTGGTGAACTGGCGAGGTCTAATGAGCTGGCCGTTCTCTTGCTCTCGAAAGATCGGTTGGAGATCTGGTCATCACTGATTGGAGAGGACAAAGGGTATTTCGGAGTGGGTTGTGGTATATGGAGTTTTGACGCCTTATCGTTGCTATTGAAGAAATTCGAGGACATAGTATCCTGGGTCATAGCACCTGTTCTATACCAATCAGCAAGTGTTACTGTACGAAGGGTAGGAGATGCCTTCAAAGGGAGGATATACCAGTAAGGGATATGTACAAACATAGAAAGTCTGAACCTCTGACCCGCAGGGGCTCTTGAACGTCAAGTGTCGAAGTAAGCGAATATTACTGATTACGTGTACTGCTGAAGGAATGGATGGCTAGCGACCGAGAAAGAAATTGCAGAGTTATTCGAACAATGCAACAAAGGAAGATGAACACTTGTGTGGACTCAACCATTTGAACTGTGGAAATGGAGAGAACAAGAATGAGGACACTAAGAAACAAACAAAGCTCGACACATGTGGCTTGTCTTGACGTCTGAACAGGTCCAGATCAGTACCAATCTGGCTTGGATTGATGCTATTCTCCAGGCATGGTTGAAGCTTTTGACCGCTGCCAATGGCAGGGCCGCAAACTTCTTTCACCAGAATGCGAGAAGACATCCTCGAATGGCGAGCTCCCTAGGCGCCCATCCGTGGAGGGAAATGTCTGTTACGCGACAAGAGAAGATTCGCGTTGAAGGGGAGGAAGTCCGGGACGAGCTGTGAGTGGACAAGCTTGAGTCTGTTTAGCCGCTGTCGAGCTCTGTCAAATCTTGCTTCTATTTGTGTCCACCAATGGTCTTGCTGCATGGAACCAAAGTCACGGGACCGGGGCTGGGAGACTCGGTACAGGCTGCATCCGTGAAAGAATTTACTATAACTATAAGCGATCATGTAGCATCCATGTACATTATGCACAGCGACTTTGAACTGTCAGGTCACGATGCCACCGAGGTCGACCTTTACACATAATGCTCATCAGGCTCCCAATGTAGCCTCCAAAGCCAGTTCGAGCGGGTTGTGAAATTCCTCTGGCTTGCTAACCAACCCAATACCGGGCTTTCTCTTTTGAAGAATGGGGAACCTTTCATCAGAAGTTCTGCATCGACGAGTTCGAGATCAGAATAGCCAACAACCAGTCTTCGAACACGTTTTGCAACCCAAACGCCAGTTAACGTATAGCTAACACCGAAATTACCCGCCAATTTTGGTATCATTGCTATATTTTTTGGTTTCCATTCGTACATCCAAGGCCTGTAGCGAAGCCGGACCAATTGATTGTACTCACAATTAATAGACAAGTTAGTTGCCCAACCCCCTTCAACCCGAGCCAAATCTTTGAAGCCAACATCCGAGCTGATCGTACAAACCCAATAAGGAGACGAAATGCCGCAATTGGTGATATGATTGGTCTTCTAGGATGCTGAGAAATGCTACCCATGAGCCAGTATGGGTTGGTCTTATCGTCTATCGTCAGAATATTGTATGCCTTGCATGGCGGAGGGTCCGGCGCCATTCATTAGGGGTGGGAGTGTTCTGGGAGGTTCCGTTGCATTTGGTTGGAAATGACCATTACTGAAACCAGGACCAGGCTGGCTTTCATATGGCGCTTGGCTATGCTGATGCTGATGCTGATGCTGTTGTTGTTGTTGCTGTTGCTGTTGCTGTTGCTGAAACCGACTGACTTGCTGGCCGAGCTTCTCGAGCTGCGTTTGTCGTTCATGGTCTCGTTGTCGCAATTCTGCAAGCTCATTACGCATGGATTTATGTGAGCTTTCTAGGTGGGTTATATAGTCTATCGCTGCAAGAGGAGTCAGAATACCATGGTTGGTCCGTAACAGCTGTCGCACGTACCCCTGGTCAACGTCTCCCATTTGCTAGATTTATTGGTTTGGCTTGGTGGTAGACGTGCTCTTAGAGCCTCAAAGCAGTCTTTCATCTCGCTACGACGCTTCCTTTCGGCTAATTTGTGAGTAACTCTGAGCTCAGGCGTTCGACTATAAGGAGTGGTGCTGTTCGGGGAGTCGGGGTCATGCATAATGTCGGAGATCTGTTTGTGCTGTAGGCTGTGGTGGTGCAAGGAATTAGGAAGTTCTGGCCGCTGGTGAGTACGATACCCGCGCAAGGAAATGATATCTTACCATGCTGACCAGGGGGGAGTCTAGAATCATTCGTGTATAAACTGCTCGTGAAAGAATCGGCGAAACTGTTGCGCCGAGAATACGTAGGAGGAGGAGGAGGAGGAGGAGGAGGAGGAGCAGGACCTTCAGGGTCGGGGAAAGCATAAGCTTGTCCGGCCGTGGGAGCCTCAGCGTTATAAATCTCTGACCTTGGATTTTCTGCGATTGGTGGAGCAATCCGTCCTGCTGTGAATCCGCTTCGAGTTTCTGCAGCTCGTGATCCCAGGGGAGAGGAGAGCGAACCACCAGATGATCGAGGGCCGCGATAACCGTTCGTTTGAATACCTCGTTCTCTCTGGAGACCAGACACAAGGGACGCTTGCGAGGCATTCGTGCTTCCGTAAGGGGACTGTCCATTAAGAGCAAGTTTGTCCATGCCTTGGTGTACTCGAACATCTAAACTGCTGCGACGTGAATCCTGCAAATCGCCCACCCCTTTCTGACTTGATGCGTCAAAGCTTTGATTTATTGACGGCAACGTCGTATTCTGTTGCGAAATTGAAAAGCCAGGGGATGGTTGTGGGCCGGCAGGAGACGGCGTGACCGACGTGTCTGGTGTGAAAGGCGGTCTCTCCGAGCCGGATAGCCTGTTGGGAGAAGGCTGCGATGAGTTGAGGTAGGGATTGGTGCTGGTGGAATAGGCTGATGAACCTGGTCTCAATCAGCTATACTACTTTGGCTAGGGATATTGGTATAGATAGCAAACGAATGGAGGAGAAGGGGTCATGCTTACGAGTGCTCGGCGGCATTGACCACGCTCCAGAGTCTCTCTGGACCGCACTCATTGACAGATTGAGGGGTGGTTGCTCGGCGGGTACTGTATTCATGGTGGATGTCAAGGTAGTGATGGAAGGTAATGTTTGCTGTGTTTGTACGGGAGGTGTACGAGCGCTCGCGTTCCTGGCCTCCCACGGCCGGTGGCTGTTCGAGGTATTCATTGCAACCGGATTTTTCTTATGGTCCTGATAATCCAGGCTGCCCAAACGTGTGATATCACGGAGCTGCTAGGCTTTGGACTTGAGTAGATATTTGATCAGGTTGTAAAGCCAGACGACGAGATCCTCAAATCTTCATCTCTCGATAAAGAAGGGATGTGATGTAACAGGAACAAGGGGATAAATCGTGTTTAGCCGCTGGTACAGCAGATCGACGTGACACAGCTTGAGGGGGAAGATGCTCCGACCATGCGAGATATCTTGGGTAATACCCAAAGCAGAAATAGGATCCGCCAGGGGTAGATCTCCTGAAATGATAGCAGGAGACTTATGACAACAGCTGGATACGAAAGAGTAGAATACAGCTTCTGTGGTGAATGTGCTATACTGGCATCTGTTACCGGTCGTAGTATGCCGTCGGTTAGATGACTTCGGTCTTTGAACCGATGGCACTGATGAAGAGGTCAGATTCTCCAAATCTGAGCGCAAAGACAAGCTGAACCACAGCTCGGTCTATCCCTCACGTTCTTGGGCTCGCTTCTGAAGTCGAGAAGAGCTCCAGTCGTCAACTGTTCTGCCTGGCGCAAGGGCAGTCGATCGGGTCGTTGCTGGATCTTAGCACCTTTGACTGTGTGTTACAGCCTGAACAGGACAGCGCAATGGAACGCGTCGAGATCGCACAGATGTAGCACGGCAGATTGCGTGGCAGTTGAGAAAAGTGGGCTTCGAGCTGAGGAGGTTACTGGGAGAGGGCCAGCAGGAAGGTCGTGGGCGTCGGGAACTTGCGTCTTGAGAGCAGGGAATTGCGGTTGCTAACGTCAACAAGCGACGTCGAGGTCAAGTGGGCCACCGGTGATTATAAGTGGTTGACTAGACTGGGAGATAAGGGGAGCGAATTGGTTCGAGGCCGTTGTAGGGGTGAGGTGTAGAGAGAGCGAGCTGGAACGAGGATATCTGCTTCTGTCAAATAATGGCTAGGCGGGAGGACAGCCAATAAGTTAAGCCAGAAATCAAGCCCGGGGTGCAGAAGACAACGCCTTGCATGCGCTGAACCACCAACGCTTCTCAGCAGCACTCTTTAATTTACGAATTACCCGTTACGACAAGATTCAACACGGCTTTACAGATATTTGATTTCTTCGATGGCTAAACTCCTTCACCACTACAATTCATTAATGGAAAGCATTCGCATGGCTGAACCTTTTAAGCGCATGGCGGTCAAACGGCTGTTGAGTAGTTCCAGTCAGCTGTCCCGGCGATCAAAGCTGAATTCATTACCAGCTGAAGAGTCGTATCAATACATCTGATAGACTCGAGATTCCTGGCGCTTCAGAACCTTTGATAAAAGAGAGTACACCTCTCTTGACGCTGTCCCAAGGACTCACTCGTATCAAGTACACCAGCTCGTTTTCGCCTACGATTCCAGGGCCTGGTCGCTCCCGGTCCGCCGATCCACATGGAAATCCTTTAGTCCAACATCCATGTGCTGACCAGGGTGTCTTCAGTAAGCACTAATTTAGGCGATGGGAGATCTCTGGACTGGTTGAGCAACTAAGGAACGTCGAGGTTTCGAGTCAATCGGCAGTCTGATGCCTCCTGTTACAGATTGAATGCGATGCACAAAGCCTGACAATAAAAGTGTCCCAGAACCCGAGCAAAGATGCCCGCATCCGTGATCAGACGCCCGACAGCAGCAGCCAGACAGCATTGGGTTGCCTGAAACTTCCGTGCGATGGGGAATACAGCTGACAAACGCACGGCGGGCCTAAACTAATTAAATATCCAGCAGCGATCCCAGCATCATCGAAAAGCCCGCCTAACAGCAACGACGGTGGCCAAAATCAGGAGCAACCAGATGTTAAAGTCTTTGAATAAAGTTGGGAGATTCACTACTCTTGCCGTTGATCTCAGATTTCCCTTCTTGGTCTTCACATCGAGATCTCTGGAGGTTGCCAGGCCCAAGGTTTTTGACCAATACTCGGTTCCGTGTTTCGTCGCACAGGATGGGGCGGAAAGTAGGTAGTTAACGCTCGGACGTGGAGAGGACAATGTGTAAGGCTCGTCAAGCAAGAAGCTTTCATCCTGTCTCATGGATCACGAAAAGACCAGGCGTGACTGGTCAAAATCCATCCATCCCAACACGGCCATGTGTTTATGCAGGCGACAATCACGCGGAACCAACATGACACAGCGTCTGAAAATGGTCGATCTTCCATCCTCTTCATGGGTGCCTCCCTCTGACTATGCAGTATTAGGGTCGTCCTCCACAACCGGAACCTTATTGAATAGTAGCCTTCTTCTGAGCGGACCGAACTGAGGATCCATCGCCATCCCAGCACCAGTATTTCATGATCACTAGCCGATTCCTGGGTCATTGAATGCACATCATGTCGTTCGGCAGGCCCGAAGATGCTATGCACCAACCTCAAGCAGACAAGTGTTGCAGTACGTGACCGGGACGATGCGTAAGTGTCGTTCTTAGATCCCGGCTATCCTTGCACCGGACTCTGATTTGCAATTGATGAGAAGATCTGGTGAACTGTACACATACTATTCTTGGCGAAATCCGAATTATGATGTAGAGAAGCGAGTTAGTGCATGATTGACCTGATTGACCTGATTCGTGAAGAATTACTACGTACGCGCTGCGTCGATCCGGTATCGCACCGAGGGCCCGACTTGCTCTAATCAGTCTCTTGCATACAGGGACACGGCACCACGGTCCAAAAAAGGAGCAGAGACCGCGGTACACATAGTATTCCTAATGTCAGCTAAAGCATGATCTTGTTGTGTAACCTTGGAGAAATGTCAGCTCGATCGGAACCTGCCTGAGAGGCCCTGAGCAACGTGAGGAGACACCCCGATGAATGAGCGTGGCCGGTGTGTGTCTCACCATCTTTGTTAAGAAGCCTCGGCCTGGGGGCCTGTTAATTACGCGGAGATATCCGACTCGATCGGTAGGCTGACGGCAGAATCCTTCCTTCTCGCCCTTGGCCGGACAGAACGTCTCTCTGATCCGGACTCGGAGTCTTGACATCGTCGTACTAAGTCCTGAGCAATTTATACGACTGACAGCTGTGATCATACTTGGCACTGACAGCACACCACACCTTCAGGACAGAGCGGCAGGCCACTTATTGCTTGAACTGGTGGTGTACAATGTCAGCAAAGTCCTTTGTCAGCATCACCGTTTCTTGTTGCAGGAAGCAGACCACTTATCTCCCTTAACTCGACTCGACTTAGATATCCCAGTCAAGGCTTGACCGCAGTGAATACCAGAGCATATTCTTATCTAATCCATCTTCATCCTCCCGTTAGAGTGCTCCGCTTCCTTCCCGTCCCTTAGTCCATAGTACTCTCCAACCCTTTTCACCAAACAGTCTGTCTTGAGGAGGCGGACACAGTGGCTCATCGAAGTAGATAATGATATGCTCTCAGCAACTAGTAAAAGGAAAACTCTGTTCTTAAAACCCGCAGTATTTCAGCCCGTGAAATAACCATACCTAGTGACGGAAACACGATACGCCTCGCTTCCCTACTTCTCTTCCCCCAGATCCTCATCATCCTCACCCCCCTCCTTATCCCAAAGAGACCACTCTCTGCCTCCGTCACAACAATCGATCGCTAACACTCCACCCTATCCGAATCTCATAATTTCTCTCTCTTGTAGCTCCAGGCCATCCACAAACTCTGATCAAACCATGCTTCCAGCCCGCTCTTTCATCTCAGTACACCGGGCATATCGAGCTTTGAACAACGCTCGCCGTGACACGAAATGCAATCCCATCCCTCTCTACTGAACCTGTCAGCGACGATGAAAAACGACTGTGTATATACCACCACACGACATCGACGCAAAGAGTACCTGTTAAAGTGGTGTGAATTGTGTGTGTGAGAGAGTCAGAGGGCGGTTTCCCAATGTGTGGTGATTCGAGCTGGATCACGGAGATATCATCCAGTGTTGGGATTTCATGACTCTTTGCCGGGTTCTCGTCTTTATGTCTTTATGTTGTCTTCCATTCGTCGGCTTTCAGTTCATTCGTATCGAACATAATCATTTAGCATCTGCACAGATGCTTCCTCCTTCAATGAAACTATATCTCTGGTTATCCTGCTCCGGGTCCGACTCAGTTGTGTAATCATCTTCATAAGAATGCTCATCTCCCTCTCCCTCGTCCTCCTCTACTCCTTCTCCCTCTTCCTCCTCTACTCCTTCTCCTTCCTCTCCCTCCTCATTCTCATCCCAACCACCTTCCCCTGCCTCCACAACGCCTTTAATATCCCAACGATCCCCCTCAGCCGCCGCACTAATGTACTTGACAAACCTCAATGTACCTCGATCCCTCAAGACAATACTGAATCTATTCCAGGCTGGTGGGTCGGTAAAGAGGATTGCGTCATTCTCGTCGTCATGCTTGTAGATTGCCGGGTCTGATTTCCGAGACGCGTCCTTGATGGCGGAACTGGCGCCATCCTTTTCGGATACAAAGGAGCTGTCGTCATCGTCGCCGGCCATATATATTTCTTCGCCACCCACTTCGATACGATTGGCTGCATCACTATTTTCATCTTGGGTTCCGTTTATGGTCTTACCATTGGCGGACGAAGCAACCACGTTTGCTTGCGCGCTTGGACCATCGCCGTTGGCATGGCCATCATCATCATATGCTTCACCGGTTTGCCACCTACCTGACACAGTACAGCCAAGACTGAACTCCAACCTCGGATTCTCCCCTTCATACGCACTAGCTAGGGCATAATCTTTCCCTCTACTAAATCTTCGCGCCAGAATATCCAAGGACGCATCTCCGTCAATGGTTAGGCCTGTGATGATGGAGAGCCATTTCCTGAACGCGATACTGGGGAAGAGGTGGGTCATTAGATCTGTTAGTGGCAAATCCTCGCGTGAGGGATCATTCGTCAAAGACGAGCCATGGTTTTTAAGGGGCGGTTGCTTAAAGGAAAAGCGATGTTTGTGCGGTGGTCGGGCTGTTCTCCATTCACTGCATTTATTCTCGTTGGTGTTGGCGTCAGAATCAGGGATTTCGTGCTGAGACACGAACTCTCGCAGCGAACCTGCGAACCTGTCGCACAAGAAGCGGTCGAGTTGGAGGAAGGAGTTCTCTCCGAAGCTTGAAGCTAGTTGCTCGGTCATCTCGGGGGTAAGGTAGCTTGGGGAGATGTACTGGAGGAGTAAGTTGAGGTCTGCTTCCGTTAGGAGAGTCAGATCGTCATCAGCGGTCTCCGCCTGGTCTGGCTCAAGGTCTTGCTTAGCATGGTTCTTATCTAACTGGTCAAAGCGCAGAAATTGGGGTTGTGGCTCGTCAAACTCGTCCGCTTCTTCCCCTTGCAATTGGCTTAGACTGCTCTTTTCTGCTAACTTTTGCTCAAGCCCTTCTTCGTATCCATCTTCACCCTCTTGCGGGATGTGATACCAGCCCGAAATCGCCATTCTTACTCTCTTCTTTTCCTCCTCTGGCCTCCCAATTGGTGGATGATACACCTCCTCCACATCATGAAAGCTCTCACCAGGCTGCACGGCGAAAAAACTCAACTGGCCCCAAGTAGGTGGTATCACCTTGACGTGCTCCGGCAGAGGCACCTTAACCTCCTCCCCTCGCTTGTTTCTCTTTTGCTCTGTCGCATACAGCCTCAGCCCACCACCCCATTCAGCTTGCCATGGTTCGTCCGGATCGGTCAAGTATAGGATGTAGCTCACCCTTCGAGTTCCGATAACATCGTCGTGACACAGCAAATAGCTTCCTGGTGTGTAGATATTGATTGCCATGTCCGTCTTCTTACCACTCAACTTCCCCGCACCTGTCACGTCTTCCAAAAAAGCTCGAAACTCGGCGCTGTAGAGTGCATCCCTCAATGTTACCAGACTGGGCAGGTCGGCCAATTGCGCAGAATCAAGTCCATCGAGGTTGGCGAGATCACCAGATTGCTGGATCTTGTAGATGTCTGTCTCTTTCGGAGTGAATGAGATATGTGTGAGGATCTCGGTTCGAACAGAGCGGAGGAGAGTATCGGATATGAGAGCAGGTATGACTCCATGTCGGTAAGGGTGTGAGTCCTGGTAGGCTGCTTGGTAGGTGGTTAATGTTTTTGGTTCAAAGAGTGTCGGGTGGAACTGGGAGTGAATCCCGGGAGTATGGGTGGAAGAGAGAAGCGCTTTTTTGAAGGGTTGAGAGTCGCCATTTGACGTGGAAGTCTCTGCTTCATATTTCCGCTTCATGATTGCATGTGTTGAGGTAAGATACGATATATAAGGGAACAAGCCTATGGGTTGCTAAATATGCATGCACAATCAAATTCTTTTAGACGAAAGCTCATTCAATTATCAAAGCCCTCATGCTTACAGGAATTCTCTCAAAAAGCTCTCTCAGCTTAAATGGACTCGATTGATACCGTTTGGCCTCAGAAGGTGGATCTGTGTAGTACTGTGCATGGCCAAACTCTTGCGAAATTTGGGCGGTTGTGCGGAGTTGCTAGCGCCGCGCTCTCAAACAGAAATAATCCTTACAAAGTCTTCTGTGTATTGAGATTAAAAATGATGCTGATTCTGATGTATTCCTTAGACGAATTGACAGAGCAGACTTTTACATATTGATTTTGACTTCTCTTAAAAGAATTTATATGATCAAATCCTATATCAGATGAATCAGACGAAGCTCAGCATCATTTTGATATAGATTATATCTAATAAGTCAATTTGTAAAGTCCGTATCAGCTGTTTCTGTTTGACGGCATAGCGTCAGCAATTCTTGATATAACGCCAAGGGTTTGCAGGAATTTCGCAATGCACAGTACTACTAGTCAGTACTGTTTCGTTCGCTCTACACTGATAATGTGTTCAATAAAGCTGATATTGAATAACTTACTTCACTGGCATTGGTTATCGTGATATTCTCCATGTTGTTGCCTTTGTATCAAGAACACACCAAGAACGCTGCGAGGAGCGTTCATCGATTGCTTCTAGATATCCCCTGCAATCCTGCTAACTACCAGTAATATACTTTCAAACCACCCAGCCGTCAAACCCGGGGTATATTTCCTGCCAGATGACTCCTGTACCAGAAACACGGTTACCTCCCTGTGTTCGCCAACGCTAATGTTAGAAACCCTGACATAACTGTTGCTACATGTGATTGGTATAAACGAAAATCGTGAAGTGTGTATAAGACGTCAGACGTCCCCAAGTTCCATATCCTGGTGCTAACGCAACAACGTCTCCTCAAGCTTTACCAAATATGCCTAAGCTCTTTGGAAGCAGGTTCTTATGCAATGATGTTCGATGTGATGGTACAGGTCGAGACTCTTTCTCGTCATCACACTCCCATGGAACGGCATCGGGACTTCTGATTATGCTTGCCATCAGCCCCAATCGTGCCCGTGACGAATCAGGTCGTTTTTCCAAGTCATGCTGGATTTGAACTGAGGGTGCAAAGACTTGCCCTCTAGTGCCCTTCTTGAGGATTGACTTTGGTGTTAGTGACCGCGCGTCATCATTCGAAAGCCGAACTGAGCGAGCCTCCCCAGCTGAGAAAGCTCGAGCAGATTCATTGGACTCTTCCCTTGTGGTAATGGGATGATCAAGCCCATCGGAATTTAGTGAGAGGAGTACTAGTTCGGAAAATTTGACGTCCATTGGTGGAAACGGGAAAGAGTCGTCAACCTTGATGACAGGCTGACGTGGATGCGGCAATGATAATGGCTCGGAAGAGGGCGTAATGGGCCAATGCTCCAACGTAGTTGAGCTTGGAGACGAAGCTTGATCTGAAATAGCATAGTTCTCTTCCCATCTAGGAATTTCTTTGGAGGTATATCCCTCGCTCGAACCCTGGAGAGAAACTTCTGTGCGACTCTGTAGTCCGGATATATGGGGGACAACAAGTGACTTAGGCATGTCATCGGGAAAGAAGGATGTGATATGTGGAAGGCTGCTCCCCAATGGTGATCTTAGTGAGGGTGTATGTAATGGAGTACTTTTTGCTCGAGAATTTTTGATGCTATTGCTGCTTGAAAAACTTTCTGCTGAATGGACTACATGCGCGCCATTTGCTGACCTTGCCTGGCTCGAATGATTCGAGTTGTTAGTGGAAGCTGATAGTCCCCGGCTGTGTCTCCCATGGCCGCTTGGAGCGGCGCTGCGAGAACGAGCAGAGGATGCTCTTGTCGAATGCCCGCGAGAGCTTGTTCGGGGATTTCTTCTATCATATTCTTCATTCGCTGTTCGTGGCATTCCATCCCATTTCGAGTTGACCTTTGGCACGTCTTGAGGCATCTTGGTAGACGATACGCCCGACATTCCAGGAGGATTCTTTCGTCCTGGATTCTGAGCTGTTTGTTTCCGCGATTGATTCTGCATTTGTAGAAAGGCATCTGTCGAAGGTTCCTTGGTGAAAAGCGTACCGAGAAAGGAAGGTTTCTTTTTATCTTTGGTAGGCTTTGCTGTGCTAGACATGGCCAGGGATCGTGCAGAAAGAGATCTAGGAGCAGAAGTCACGGAGGATAATGGGGTCAAGACTGGCAATCCAGGTGACCGAGGGCCGCTTTCGACATCAGAGGGAGAGGTGATGACTGTAGAGGTTGTGCTAGCAGTATCTGTGGTCAGGGTTATTCCAATTGTGCTTGCCGACTGCCGCGACCCAGTAGATGGGCTGCCAGAAGGAATAGAGTTTCGATAAGAGAGGCGCGGCACGAGGGCGTAGGCGGGATGATCGGCCGTGCGTGAAACGATCGTTTCAGTTGGGGCCATTTCGTAATGTTTGGTTTGAGGGCAGCGCAATAAAGAGAGACCACGGGATTGGGAAGACACAAAGGAAACACTTCGAGATATCTTGAGAAGATGGAGGAGTTTCGTTCATATGGGGATTGTCATCAGATCCTCAAGCGCGTTGACCTGGGGTGTGGTCACACAACGCAGTACGGCGCATTCGAAAGATCACAAAAATAAAGATCTGGAATTATGCAACGACACATTAACATGGAGTACGGCACAAAGCTAAGGATGCACGCCTGGAGAAATCTGAGCAGTGAATATACGTAGCGGATAGGAAGGATGTTCGTAGTAACTTACTTAGAAAGAAAAAGGGACGTGCACATCATATTAGTTAGTTAGCCGAAATTTCATCAGCGGCTTGAATGCACAACTGGGACCAGAAGCATGGGATTTGAACACATTATCCTGGTTACTTGGACCATGTGCGGTGGATACAATGGAACGAGTGGAGTGCCCAAGGCAAGAAAGATGTCAACGGAGGTGGAGCACCGTCAAATCGCCAGACGATGTCTTTGTGGACAACTGAAGTCATCGGTTCCTTTCCAGAGTTAATTAGTTTAGGGCTGCCGCTTTGAATGGTTGGTGGCGCCAATTGACAATAGCATTGCAAACGCCTGAAGTAATGTTAGCTCAACGCTAGTATTATTACTTGTAACCCCTATCTGACCAGAATAGCTATGTTCAAAGAAGTTAGATGTGATGATTCGACACATCACAATGGATGCACATGGAGCAGGCTTTACGGTGACGAATCATAACACTGTGTTCCCGTAGTAAGAGTAATAGAACTAGTAGCTACTTCTAGCACCAGACTAACTTTACTTCCGGGCACCCCCGTAGTATGGCACGGATATTGGAGACGCCACTGACCAATCTCGCTCAAGCTCAGGCCACATGTCGATTACCAGAATTAAAGATTGACATTTTCAGCAAGCCAACACTACGTACGGAGTACACGAAGCGAAACCCACTTTAATTAAGTAGTTGTAATGAGCTACCAATAGAGGACGTTTTCCCATTCCCTAGGCCACCCATGACGTTCGCTAATCTAGAGAGGAGCACTAGATCGATACTACGTAAGCTTCAATCTCAACGATTCCAGAAGCACTTGTCATTCTTACATTGACTATCTGCAATACGATTACTGATACGGAGTAACCTTTGAGCAATAGAAGAGATTGGAAGAGTGTTGAGAAAGATATCTGGGTCAATTTCGCTAAGTACCAAGCATATTGGGATCTTGCTCCTAGTACCTGTGGATTATGATTGCAATGGGAGATGCGATGTAATTTCGGATTGCCTACTTCATTTGTTATAACCTGGGTGATTCTAAGCGTAGGATCGTGAATGATCTACTACGCTATGGTATCAGGCGGAATTTTTATACCTTCCTAGTGAAAACGCTAGTATTCATAAATTACTCACTACGCGGAATTGAGTATAAACGTCCACGAAATGGCCTAAATAGGACTACTCTCTAAAATCGAGTTTGCATTCCATCAGCATCTACTCCGTATAACTGCTTGACATCTTGCCTGCATCAACTGAAGCAGCTCCTTAAGATAATCAGAAGGTACAGCATCCCACGCAGCTTTAATAGCTGTTTGTAGCTCGTAGAATGTGCAGAACGCGTAGAATTTGCAGGATATTCGCACGATGCGCGCAGGATAAGCAAAATTTACAGGACAACGATTTGTACATAAGGAGGGCGTTTGGTAAGGAATTATGACCAGCGGCGGGTACAGAGATTCCACCCAATACCGTAGTACGACGTGACCTAGATTTCCCTGTCACTCTTGTGGTCACAGGTGCATCTAGGAAACTCGTGGCATAGCTCGTGGCATAGCTTAAACCTTAAACTAGCCAGCCGCTGAAAGAAGAAGCCCTACAAGCAGTAGACGCGGGGACTGGGCCTGGACTTGGAATTCGTACCGGTACACCACACAAGGCTTTACTCTGCCAACACAGCCTCAGTCTCCACAAAGCTGCAACCGCACCAATTTCGCCTTTGCCATTCGGAATTACGACTAATACACCCCAACTGCTTGCGAGAGGATGTGTTGGGGGCACGCTGTGTACGATCAAAGGTGCCTAATGCACGAATTAGTGGAGTGTTTGCTGACAGCCAAACCCTTGTAGCAAACTGCCCTCTGACCACTTCCTCAAAACCAAAGCGTATCAGTAATGATAGAGTAAAGAGTGCCTTCTCTCCCTCAACCCCGGTCGTTCTCTAAAGCAACGTCATAAGAGAACAGTCTAGATTCCAAAAGGCCACTTCCAGCACCTCGGTGCAGCCGGATTTTGATCAGCCTATCAAAACATCATCCACTCAGCTTATCCCGGGGTCGCCACCCCTGGAGCACCTTCCCGGTTGAGCACACCTGCATCTCCATCAACCGCATAGCAGCCGTAGGGACGCATGTCTTCAACTACAGACTCTCCACAGAGTAAGCCTCCAATAACTAGGCTCAAATTGACTATGCCGTCGCCTACCCATCTTGCGAATTTGGAAGACCTGCCTGCGTCACAAGACTTTGGTCAGGATACTCGCCGGCCTTCCTATTCTCCAGTGACACCCACCCTTCAAGATGGGCCCTCGCTTGCTGATTTCCCAAAAAGGAAACAGCCGGATTTTGTGGATGAGCCAGACCCGATCCCCATTAGCCTCGATGAGAATTCTGACGCTATTGCCCTGAAAGCCGCTCTCTCTATCCTGCTGTTACAAAAGCAACAAAGCCAGAGGGATATTAAACAGCTTGAAAAAATGAAGGCCGGAGCCAACAGTGAGCCTGAAGCCTTCATTGACGCTCTCAAAATGGGGAAACTAAGCAAAGCGCCGCCGCAGGCGCTTGTCGACATTGAAGTTGATGGTGATGGTAGTGATGACGCAGAAAAAGCAGATCAAACGACGACTGAGTCAGACAAGCCAGATCATGATTTCGGGCAATTTCCAAACCCACAGAATGTCATTCGATGTCCGCCCATCAATTGGGCAAAATATCATGTCGTTGGTGAGCCCCTAGATAGACTTCATGAAGAGCAAAGGCAACGGCCTGAGCCTGGGCATCCACGGAGAGATGAGTATGGCAGACCGCCAGAGCATGTCATCGCCGCGCCCTACCGGCCTTTCGTTGATAGCCCCGAGCTCACACATGGCAGCACACGGAGAGAAGGAGGGGAGTAATTTATGCTTTGTCACAGCGTAGAATTGAAAGAGGACAGCCCCAAATCCGTGTCGGACTGCATAATGTGTCTGGCAAGAAGACGTGTCCTCACCAAGTGTACTGGTGGCGCACTTTGGCGGTACCCACCACGCCACGAGGCTATCTAACCACCTTGAGCCTCATTTGCGCCAGCTATATGCACGGAGAAGACTCGGTGTTTGATGCCGCTATTGGGCAAACAAAGCAAGATATGCAGCGTCTGACATGTACGCGCAAAGCTGTTTGCCTTACTCCTCTTCATGAATAGTAAATTCGCGAGAGTATCTAGTCAGCATCTATGCCGTTGGCACTCCCCAATAGACTCAATGTAGTCATTTCAACACCAGTCCAGTACTGCGTCCTACGTGACTTTTTTCCTTCTCTGTTTTCTCTTTTTTTTCTTCTTTCTCGTTTTTCTCTTCTTTCTCTGAATTCGTAGACACGAGTCCAGCCTGGTCAGGTCCACGGCAAACAATGTACAGGTAACCGGCTGGAACATGTGATCATGTATCCCAAAGACTTAACCGGCAGAATCATAGTCTCAAATCTTAAGTCTCCATGATTTTGGCGGCCACCCAGGGCCATTCGAAAAGAGATAGTGAGGTGTCCCGTCAAGATCCACCTTTCAAGACGTCGTTGCTTAGCTTTTTGTGTCTTGACACCGAGAAGCTCAGGTAGACACAAACTCCCAAAAATATAAATATCGATCCCACCTAATTAGACCTCAACGCATATAAGAGAACGAATATGCAGAGCCCATTGTTGCAATAATTTGGCCCCGGTCAGAAAGGAAAGGAGTTGCCCTGTATGATCTCATACATGTTCAGGGTCTGAAATGGAAGCAACATGTCTATGGGATAAATTTAACCAGCGCCCTCCGAATACCCAAAGCAGAGTCCTCAGGAGAATCAGCATCGAGCAGACACCAATCATCACTTCCAATCTCCCTACTCTATCCGATTGCCATGGCACAGAAAGTGTTTTCTAGCTACGGTAGACTTGACTTTGTTTCTACATAACTGACTGTGTCGTTCTCCGCAAATTTCCCCTCTGGGTGATGTCATTTATCAATAAAAGTCAATTGGGTATGATCGGGCTTATCCTGCAAGGCTTGAACTGTAAATGGCATTGCTGACTACACAAAAGATAAGAACATGGTCACGACATGATCTTGTTGTCTCTGTTGTACGGACCCTGAACGACTATGTACTACAACTGACTGGCCCCCTGCCCTCAGCCCTGCCTCACTGTTGCTTTCTGTACCACTACTTCTCACCAGAGAGCTAGAACCGTCAGTGCTTCTGACCTGAACATTCTAGGGTGACTCGGCCTTTAACTGTCAGAGCTAGACACTTTCTACGCACATTCTCTCAGGACACAAATACACAAATATCTCCAGCATGGAACCCCAAGGGCCCTCACAACCCTCCCAGCAAACCGGCTACAACCAACCCACCAACCCCTCCACCCAAACCGCCTCTGAGAAATCCCAATCTCACGACCCATCCGGCTCCTCCGGACCACCAATTGATCGCCGTCAAGCCCACGATGTCCCCTCGAGTCACACCAGCGACGCAACCCCGTCTTCCCTTGGCCGAGGCGACACAGGCTCCCTCAAAACGAAAGACACCTCCGTCTCTGACGCGCAGAACTACTCAAAATCCGAGCTCGAAGGCGAGCAGATGCGCCCCCCAGGCGAGGGAGACGTTGCGTCCGCGGTGACAGAGAAGAGGTTTGGCGGTCATGGCGAGGAGGAGGGGTTAATGCAGAACATGGATGAAAAGACCAAGGCGCACAAGGAGGCACTGCATGACAGAGGGGAGAAGACGGGGGCTGAGATCGAGGAGGAGGGAAAGGAGGATTGGACGGGAAAGAAAGGGAATGTGGATGTGGCAGAGGCGCTTGGAGGGAGGGGGACCGCCGTTGTGCTTGCTGCAGAGGAATGAGCAAACGCTATTCTCAGGTTTCAGAAGGCTATCCGTCGAAACCATGAGGAAGCAGACGAGAAATCTCGCTATGCTTGAGAGGTGAAGCATGCAACCTCTGGGAGCGTTTACTTCATTTCACACCCCACAACGTGCTATCAGTTATATCCAAACCTCTCTGATTCTGTTCCTTCTAGGTTGACTGCCACTTCCCATATCTTCTCAGAGTCCTCCTGTATTTCAAGTTCTTCATGACAAGCGAGTCGGTAGTTCTGTTTAAGGGTTGTATAGACATTCGGCCTCTATATTTCTAACCTATTCTGCACTGAGCTCTTTTATCCTGACCTGGGCGGTAGTGTCTGCAATTGCAGTCAGGCCACGCAGTGCAGAATACTCACTCAGTGACAAAGACAATTGTTCGCCACCTCTTGCTGGACAACATTATCACCGCGCTGAGGAATGTTATTGTGTCACACTGAACAAAACTATTCTCCTAGCAAAATAGACACAAAGGAGAGTAATTCATTTTGCCTTTGTCAGTTCACTCATCCGCATCCGGCTCTAAAAGAATGGCTATTTCATCCACTTGGGGCAAGTCATAAAGGGACAAAGGGAATGTATGAAACTTCTTCATCTGTAAAGCACTGATCATTCGTGGTGGGGAATTCTCGCTTTTCTTGAAAATGTTGTTCTGTAAGAGCACTGGGAGATTCTTGTATGTTTGGTACAGCACCAGAGTATCCCACCTTTGTATCAGCCGAGTCAGATACCTCTTCCTCTATTGGATATAAGCAAAGGGGATGTGCTACCACACGCATTACATCTTCCTTGCCTGCGGCCACTCTTTCTCTGCTTTGCACTCCATCCGTCCTTCACCACCATGTCCTAATCAAGATCAACCTCAAGCAGAGGAAATCACAGCAGCAGCAGCAGCATCTCCACGGCCCTTCTCATTCGATCCCTCCGTCATCGCATCGCCTCTTTCACCGCTTGCTGAACCATTTCCCGTACACGCACCTTGGCGATTAGAGGGTCCCTTCAGCACTCCTGAGTCTTCCTCCTCGATTGCAGATGACACCGAAGCCGACCTTGATAAGAACAGCATTCTAGCTACGGATCCAAATTTCAGTAGCAAAATCACGGTAACTGCCCCCATCACGGTAGGAAGACCAGAAGATAGACACGAAGGTAGATATCACAATACCAGAACCGGGAAAGCACAAGAAGCAACAAGACCCCATACTCACTGTGGTGAGATCCTAACCCACCCCTACCGCAGCTACAAGATCGAAGGTCTATGTCTGCACTGTAGACGACGGCGAGACACCCTTCTGGCCAGCTTCGAAGTAAACGCGATTAAAGATGCAGTGAATCGAGAATCGCCACTTGGACCAAACAATGGGAGGCCACAGAGGAGATTTGAGGGATTGCCTCCGCCTATGGCAGGACAGAAGCACGCAGGGTTACAAGGTAATGATAGGCTGAAATCCAGCCCAATACCAATGCCAGCGCCAGTGCCGATGCCGATGCTCGTCTCTGTCCAGGGGAGGAATGTCCATTTTGAGCCCCAAATCGATGGAATGGAACATCAGCAGCAGCAGACGCCTTGGAGGTTGACCTTGCCGCCGGCCGAGATCCCTAAAACAGGAGGGGGCCTGGCCGGGATGAGGGACGGCGAGTGGATATGATTTTCGATATGGAATTGTCTGTAAGGGATATGGAATTTAGTTGAATACTCCGTAATATTCGAGCAATTGGTTAGCTCACAGGTAGGTTGTGGCATCCCGTATTTGGACTAGCGTTTTCCGAACTGGGGAGACCGGCTTGGCGCTACGCTTGGCATTAAGTCGCTCTGACCTCAATTGGAGTCCACCAAGATGCAAGATGTAAGATGAAAACGCTCGCTAGATGGGAAGATCGCTGATCGGTACTCACAACGAATACTACCCGAAAAGCCTCTGAAGGAACATAATACCCTCTGCAGACTTCTGTGCAACCAGGAGAACCTCGACTTCTCAGACCAAGTTCTGCTTTCACTGTCGATGAGCAGACCCGATACATACATCGACACTCCCTCCCTCTGCCCCATCTAGCCCTCGATAATTCCCCACTACTTGCCACGATGCCGACTCCCGAATCAGAGGCCTTCCTGGCAAAGAAGCCTACCGTACCACCTACCTTCGAGGGCGTCGATATGCTCGACAACAAGGCGGTGTACGATGCAAGAGATGCAATCATTCGAGAGCAATGGGTACAACAGATGATGGCTAGACTAGTCAGGGAGGAGCTCGGTACGTGCTGAGACCCTGTTGGACCGTTCACCGAGCAAGGACGGGTAGTAGCGATCGCATTGCGGACTACGATCACGTCTGGCGCAAGGAGATGGCTCCGAGGCAAACCAAATAGCTTGAGCATCAGACAAGCCAAACCCGACAGCACGAAAAGGGCTAACCTCATCTCGTGCGGGAGATTTTAGGCAAATGCTACGTGCGAGAAGGCGTCAACCACCTCCAAAACTGCGGAAAATACAGAGGTACAATCACCATACTTTCTACATACTACTCAACGCGCATTTCCGCTCAGCTAAACCCCTTCCAAAAAAAAAAAACAGATCGCTACATCCAGCTCCTGAAAGAAAACAAAGAAAAGGGCTACCGAGGCCGACAGCAAAACTACGACCCTCTAGCATACGAAAAGGCTCTCAACCACCCCAAGAACAAAGGTATCGTTCCCCCCTCCCCCACCCCCAAAACAAACCAAAGATATCCCACAACCTGTCCCGTCTTCCCAATCCCCAAACAAATTCCTTCTCACTTACCCTTCTCTCTCCCTTGCGACCACACAGATCGCGTAGCATCCCTGCTCGAGAAACTCAAGTCCGAAGGCCGTGAGATCCATTCTCTCGGCAACCCGCACGGCCCGGAGATCCCGACCGATTACCCGACTGTGCAGCAGGCGAAGGGGGCGGCGGGGTCGGATAAGAGACCGGGAAATACGACGGGGTTCGGTCCGAATGGGATGGGGTGGTATTGAGTTCTCTCGATCGAGGGAAGGAAAGGGTTGGGTCGTGAAAGGAAAGGAGAGGAAAAGGGAAGGCAGGCGTGATTGTACAGATTAGGGGCTGGGTTGGGTGGGATAGTTCGAGAATGAGACAATGATCAGTGATGGATACGTATTTTTTTCTTGCTGTTGGACGGTCATACATGTAGGTCATGTCATGCCTAGAGAACGGACGCACATCTCGACACGCGTATCCATGACCCATCTTGCCAAGTAAATCACACACCTTCACAGAACACCATACAGAGTAGATATGCCTGTACATATATTCCGTAAGGGGCAGACAGCCAGCTGGCTTCACTACCATATATAGGGCGCATCTATATCCACACCCCGATCATGATCATGATCCTGCTCATGCTCAACCGGCTCAAGTGCAAGCCAATCCGAGAATAATACAGGCGGTCGAACACACACCCTCGGATGCAGCTGCTCATGTCGGTTGCTCGCACACACGGCGATGGAAGAAGAAAAAAAAACCCGTATACAGGAAGGAGGGAAATGACGATGCGAGATAGCCACCCAACCCCTCACGCATGGAGACCGCTAAAACATCTTTCTGCCGCACCTTTCAAGCTCAGTCATGCTGATCCGGAGGTGGTCATGTGGTGGTCGTTTATCATGATATTCGTTGTTCCCTTCCCCCTCGCCCCGGGCCTGTTTCAAGTTGTTCTGCCTGGGGGTCTCGAGGAGCCGAGAACACGTGTAGGATTGAGGGAGGCGGGGGGTGGCCCATGTATGGTCCAGGAATGCGCTGTGATAGTGTATGCGATGGCTCTGCACTGGTTGGTTGGTTGGTTGGTTGGTTTACGTGGAGAGGGGTTTCGGAATCGCGGGTGTCTTGGTGTAGGCATGCAATCTGCTCGTTAGAATAGAAGTGGTTGCCGAGGAGAGTGTAGAGGTATGAGGGATTGCAGGCTTCCCTTGGTAGGGAGCAGGTCCTGGGACATGGTACTTGATGCATTCCCGTCCATCATTGATGGGCGAGCGCGCCGCTTCCTATTTCGATGTCCCTCGATTGGCGGCTGTGGTCGAGCGATTTGGCCATTGACTTGTTATCGGGAATGCCTCCGTGATGCAGGATTCCCCGCAAGGTTGCTTCTTCCATTCTGTGCACTGGATCAATCTCTTCGAGATACAACAATTGAGGCACTGACTCGGACGTGCTTTGGCTATAGCTGTGATTGAAGACACCAAATGAGGTGTGGAGGTTGACTCCGATAGGGCAAGGACGTTCAGATCAGCGAACAGTGGAGCTCATCCTCCGTCGACGATGGGGCGAAATCTGATAGGGACGTAGGCCTGGGATTAGTATTCATCCTTTCCTCTTCCTACACATTCCCACCACGACGCTGATATCATCCATTTTTCCTCCTTCCATGGGCAATCCTTCTTCCACTGCTCTCTCCATAAAGGGGCTCTCAGCAAAGGGATCTTGCGCGATCGCCCTGGCGGCATTCATCAGCTCTCTCGCCACAAACACCATGCCATCTTCGGATCCGTGAACACCCTCTTTCCAGCTCCTGACCGAGTCGCACACATTCTGGCAAACCTCGTTCTCCCAAAGATTGTCCGAGACACCATCAGACACAGCAAGTACCACATCGCCCTCTTGAATGTCCACTGTGTCTACGACCGCATTTTTCTCGGGCGTGTCGGGACTGTTGGTACCGAGCTGGCGAGGACAGTCGAACCAATGCCATTGCTCTTTCGTCTTGTAAATGATTTCTTGATCTTTAGGTCGAATGACTAGCACCGCACAATCACCAAGGTTCGTGGCATAGATGATTGGCTCTGTCTCGGAACGGTAATGCAGTAAAGCGGAGCAAGCGGTAGTGGTTCCACAGATCTCATTTGCTTTCGTTGTGATGATCTTGGTCTGTTCGAAGGCACTTTGTAGGTAGTCTACCGGGCGCAAAGCCTCTGCACCGGAGCCCGCATCAAGCATGGCTCGCTCAGCTTCAATTGCCCAGAAGTGTGCAATCAGTCGACTCCATAACGCAGCGTGTCCCCTTTCTTTCGTTGCCCAAGCACCCACGCCATCGTTCACCCCTAAGAAGTGCTGTCCGTTGACAATGACCGCATCATCCCCATTGGTGGCTCCTTTTATGTACTGGCCCTCGACCGAGGGCCGACGATCGCGGCTACGAGTGTGGGTTGTAAGGGGATCGGAGAAGGATCCAGAGGGTATGGAGAGGAAGGGTGGTGGAAACGGTCGAGAAGGGCGCTTCGCAAATATTGCGTATCCAGTCTCGAAATAGAAAGGTACGTCAATAGAAGGTTTCGTAGCCGCCACGTCCTCAGGGTGAGTTGTGGTTACGCCATGGGAGATGAGAGGCTGGGAAGCCGGGTAACACCTTCGGAACAGAAGAGATCCTAGCAGGATTGAGCCGTGCCGTTGCTTCAAAGGACATGGGACACAGCTTCTGAGAGGAAGCATGCCAGCGGGCTATGCGCCCTTCAGTGCTGAGTTGCACGAAGTTCAGCACATGGTTGAAGAAGACAAGTCCAACAGGGGCCACAGTTGCGGGCATTCTCACTCCGAGGGGTGGAGACAGTCCAGATGACACAGTTCTCATCAGATAGTATGTGCAACTGTGTCTCATATTATTTGTCTTCCGATCTCGGCTGTCCAGGCTCAGATTGTCGCCGGAGCCCCGCGTATGCTACTGAGGACAGAAAGGCCTGGAAAGGCTTTGACGAAGAATACACCTTTCCCTCTCAATTTCAGTTCTGCAGCGGGCCTGCACGGATTGTGCCTCCACGCGGCGCAGGCTGGGAACCTGATCTTGATTGATCAGAGCCAAACAATCCATCGACATATTCTCCTACTGCGCGCATCTATCCCTACGAGAAATCTGCAACAAGATGTACCTCTTATCGCCATTTCGATCGGATCAGAAGCTTGACGAGTTGGAGAATAAGGAGGAGGGTAACAGAGATAATAATTACAGCAGAGCGCATGAAGGAGATAGGGTCTTGTAGAGCATGGTTCTCAATTACAGACTCCCTTTCAACGACCCCATGCAGAGAGATAAAAGAATAATGGGCTAGGTTTTTCTCGATTTTCCCTGACCTGCTGTCCTCGTATAGTTGCAATTACGGATTGGCTAGAGGCAGTACCTGAATAGGGTTGTTCTTTGGGTACTATCTCGATGAAGCAGTTACTTGATCTGTTGTTGCAGAGTTGTATAACTCGAGTGTCTACATAAACTGCTAGCCTGGACGGACACTATAATAAATGAGATACACACACACTCAGTTCTGCAGCGAACACGAAAGACTGCCTCGCCAGGACGCTTACTTGTAGCCACCTTTAGAACTGTGTAAAATATGTGAACTGACTCCAACAACCACAAGCAAGACTGCATATCGGGCCTGAGAACATGAAAGGAATATTCATGTTCTTATACTGATTTGCCTATACACTCAGATCACCACGTTGACACTATCTTACATCAGTCTGCCAGAATGCCTTCAGCATATGTCCATCTGTAAGGCCTTGTCTCTATGAGACGCCCCGCGGGATTGGGCAGGAATAATGTTCTGTTGCTCAGCCAAAAGCCTCAACCTGAACTTTTCTGCTCCGGTCTTCTCTCTTCCGCAGCTGTAGCCTTGCTATTCTTCTCATTCATGAATCCTTGTTCGGTTTCTAGCGCTCGATTGAGGTCATAGCTCTTGATGAACAGTGAGAGTATTAAGCTCACGCCAGCCAGCGCGCAAAGCACAACCGCAATGGCCCTGAATGATTGAGCATAAGCAACTTGAAGATCTTCTTTGTCTGTCCCAGCTGGCATCATTTTGATCGTCTGAACCAAAGCTGCTGAATCTTTGGCTAGCATGACAGCCTGGTCAGCCCAGCGTGGCGACGCGAGCAATCTCTTCCTCATCTCGTTTTGGAAGATGCTACCGCCGATCGCTACTCCTAGGGTATTGCCAAAGCTGCGGAAAAAGCTGAACATTGCCACGGCAAAAGCAAGGTCTTTGTTCGTGGAGGCGCCTTGAAGGGCGGACTGCATTGCCGGAAACAGCATTCCCATCCCAACCCCACTGACTAACATTATGAAAACCCACTGGACGGTCGATGTGTCGACATCGAAGAGGTAGAGAAGTCCAATACCAAGTGTGGTCAGCGTCCAACCCAGGATGATAGACCATCGGTATTTCCCTGTCCAGGTAATAAGCAACCCGATTACGACTGCGGTGGGGGCCACTGTGAAGCTTGAAGGAAAGAGAGCTAGACCTGCCACAATGGGTGTGTAGCCTTTGACCGCTTCGAAGTACAGTGGTAGGTAGTAGAGCACGCACCACAAGATCATGCCATGGAGAACGTTCGTGGCGTACGCGATCGATGCGGTTCGACTTTGGAAAATGGATAGTCGAATAAGCGGCTCAACTGCAAGGTATGTCTCGTACAAGACAAAGACGGCCAAACCAGCAACGCCGATGGTAAGTGGGACGAGCGTGCGCCAGGAGGACCAATTATACATGACTCCTCCCCAAGTAACGGGAATAAGGAACGAGGTAGTTGAGCCGACGAAGACAACAGTGCCAACATAATCAACACGCCGGAGTTTGCTTGCCATAGAACTTGGGAGAAAGTTCAATCTCAGAAACAGTGGCACCATGACATAGCCTACCCCGATGAATGGAAGGTTGAGATAGAAGATCCAACGCCACGAAACGTTCTGGGAGAACGCTCCCCCTATGATGGGTCCGGATACACTACCAATGCTCCTATCAAAGGCTCAGAATCAGAAGAGAACGACTTCTCAAGGTGCTGGTCACATACCACATGGCAGATATTATGCCAAACCACTGGCCCCGAAGACGGAGAGGAACAAGGTCTGTGATGATGATCTCGGTCAATGCGGTGATGCCACCACCCCCCACTCCCTGTAGTGAACGACCGATGAGCAGCAGAGTGAAGTCGTTGGCAAGACCTCCTATGAGGCTCCCTGCCAGAAAGAAGGTGATGGCAAGTAGGATAAGTGGTTTCCGACCGAAGATGTGGGAGAAGGAGGCGTAACTGGGTTGAAAAACAGTGGCAGTAAGCAGGAATGACGTCCCCGCCCAGAATGCTTGTATTCCAGTACCCTTTAACTTCATTGCTATTTTAGGGAGAGCAACGGAGATGATAGTGGCATCTAAAGCCACCATGAGAGTGAGCACTGCCAGGGTCATGACGGCAAGCCAGAAGCGTGTCGTTGGTCGGAAGTCTGCCGGCACGTCTGTAATATTTTCGTCCTGCTCTGGTGTCAAATAATGCGAGGAGCTTGGATGGTGTGGACCTTCGGTAGGTGAGGAGCCATCCCTACCCTCTTGGGGAGGATTGTTGAGCGCAGACGCCATGAAGGAATCACAATCGAGCAAAGCAGCTAATCCTAGATAGTCTCTCAAGCGTTTCCTGGTTTACAAGCAAGTCAAGGGTCATTGGTGAGTGACATGCGGAGGACGGAAGGTGAATGGGAAGAGATACAAGCGCATAAAAAAACCATCCTTGACCAGAGAGCAAACCGACGTCCTTTTCTCAAGATAGGGATACCGGATGGCAGTGACGTGGATAGGAAATTGGTCGATCATATGAGCAAAAAGTAGTTATAAGGATCTCACAGAAGGATATGAAAAGCAAGCAGGAAGGAGCAGTGTGGTCTTTCCAAATGCCTCAACGGGCGGAAAAGAAGGCTCCGCGCTTGATATTAAAGAAAACACTCGGGGCTTGTGCCCTCCATTGGTCTCTAGAGACAGCTAGGTAAAAGTCTAGACATGTCTAGGCATGGAAAGAGCTTCAATTCATCCGCCTATGCAATGCTGAAGTTTGGAGATGTAGAGCTAGAGCCGGCCTTAGAGGGTTGTTATGTTCCTTCCCGGGATTTTTCAATCCTTTGTTGAGCGATCGAGGAGCATCGGACGAAAAGAGTCCGGGCTGCCAAACCCTTTGAATACCTCACTCTGTCGCCTGCTATCCAGGCGTACTAGCACGTAGTCAGAATCTATGAATACAATGGACAAGGGAAAAATGGATGCCACATATTCACGTCCATGGTATCGACCGAGAGGATCAACACAGGTGCAGAAGTCCATCGCCAACCCGACGATCAGCCGAGCCCGTACAACTGTATGATTGTGTGGGTGGGTCTAGAAATCGAACTGTAAGAGTACTGTGTGGTGCCTGATATCTGACGTCTGTCACGCCCTGCAGTGTGACAGCAGCTGCAGATGTCAAGCCTCCCGAAAGGTATTCCAAATGGCCAGTAAAGCTCTTACTTAATAAGGTAAGTAATATGGAACTGGACAGAGAAGGCGATGGTATCGTCATACTTCTCCAGGTTTGACCAGAGGGACTCCTTGAACCATGCGTACTTTTCCAGATACCCCAAATTGCTGCTCAAATGTATGATCTATTTCGCTAGAGATCTTGTCCATGTTCGAGATCACCATGCCTTCCTGCAACTTGTTGAGATGCTTTGATATCAGCAAGCGTCGAAGAGTGATCCCCTCTGTAAGAGGCGGTGGCAGAAAGGACCATCTACCCCATTATTATCCAATGTTGGTCAGATAGAGCTAGAAGATGCCAAACTTCTTGCTTTTGGCTTTGTCGGTGTCTATTGCTTGATCAGCAACGTGCATGCCACAAAAGCTAACATGTGCTTACCTGTACCGTTGATGCCCAAGCCGGCACTCTGCTTAGTGTTGTCGGCCTTCCCTTTCGGCAGGGCTGCGGTGACAGGGTTGGCACCTGTGGCAGCGGCTCGAATAGCAGCGATTCGATGTTTGGCTCTGTCGTCTCCATGATCTGCTGCTCGTACATACCACACGTTGGCCTCCAAAGGATCCCGTCGGCAGCCGATCCCGGTTTCAGTGAAGAAGCCAACAGTATATTCTGCCTTGGAAAGACCCGTCTCGGCAGCTTTTCTGGCCCATTCGTATGCTTCATTTTCGTCTTTTTCCAGCACTGGCTCGGCGCCCACCATGTACCATGCGCACAACGCCATCATTGCCAGAGGGTGCGCTTGTTGCGCTGCCCCAGTGTAGAAATGTACACTGAGCGCTGGATCGCGCGGACATCTAAGTTTCCCGTGTTCATAAGCATCGCCCAGCCTGAAGTTAGCTTCTGCGTGCCCGAGGTCTGCAGACTTGGTGAAGAGCTGGGCCGCATAGGACTCGTCTCGAAAGATGCCGTCCCCATAACCACTTTCGTGCATAAGCCCTAGTTCATACGGAGCAGAATTGTACTGGAAATCGGCAGACTCCGCGGCCCGCTTCAGCCATTTCACACCTTCCCTATACTTCTTCCCTAAGCCCATGTCTCCGACCAGGCATGCTCTTCCGAGCCTAAGCATAGCACCAGGGTGGTTTTTGCTCGCCGCTTGTCTGTAAAACTGCGTTGCTTTTGCGGCGTCCACACGACAGCCCCACCCAAACTCGTAGCACAGCGCTGCGCGATAACCTGCTTCTGCATGTCCATGTTTCGATGCAGACACAAATAGTGGGAAAGCCTTTTCATAGTCCTCCTTCCCCTTGCTAAACAGTCCAGACGAGTATCCGTCTGCCAGGTAGTATTGCGCGAATGGGTATGACCGATCGGATAACCGTTGGAGGATCTGTCGTGCCTCTTTCAGCAGATCACCATGAGTAGACCCATAAGATTTCTCGGACGATGATGCACTTTCGGGGTCCGGAGGTACTTCTTGTGCAGCACTGATCATGAAAACGGCAAATTCGTATTGGATAGCAGGATCGTTGGTCTTTTTAACATTGGCTCGGTACATCTCCAAGGTCTGCCGAGTAGATAAAAGCGAGGCATTGTTGCCAATAGCCGTCCGCAGTTTCGGATTGTCCAGGTGATCAGCTGAAACAGGAGGAGGCTGGGGATATGGCACATTCAGTAAGTCGACATAGGAAAGCGGCCGGTTATCTGTGGACCGGGTAGCGGAATGTGTGGGTGAGGCTCGTGCGTAGCTGTTCGGCGACATCTGAGGAGAGCGACCGCGGCTCTGAGCAACATCGGAAATTGAGGAATATGCGGAATCTGGACGGGGTAATCTGCCGGCAAAGCTGTTGCGCATAATTGAAGGCGCGAGGTGCTCATTCCGGAGGTTTGGATCACTATTGGATGAGCCATCTGAGTATGTAGAGCGCATCGTGACCTTCGAGGCCCGCTTGTCAAATGGCCTTAATGAGCCTTGCTCGAACGTCTGGTGATGGTATTGAAGTGGCTGAAAATAGTCAGACTGCGGATTAGCGTCCCTCGCAATACTTGGTACAAGCCGCGTAGGGGAAGATGTCGAAGCAGGCAGTTGTCCTGGTGCATCCGGGAGACTTTTGCCTCTTCTGTGCATTTGTGGTGCACGATTGGCAGAATTGGAACTCGCTGTGTAGCCGATTGTGCGAATAGGCATTTCCTGAGCATAAGGCGGAGCTTTGAGCGGGTTCGGCTGAATGGGGTAATCATCTATCGATTGACGGCCTGAGGGATTCCTCGAGTGACAGGGAGAGATCTGCGATCCATGGTCTTCGATAGGGACGGAAGATGGCTCCGGTCGAGACCAGTCCGATGGAGGGTGCACATGCACTGCTGACAACGGGCTCTCCTGTACGTACGTGCCTTCGCTTGGGTCTACTGTTGGTATGGTTACTGGCTTCCGCGAGATTGAATATGACGAGACCTGCACGTCTTGTGGCTTAGACGTCTCCTGAAGAGGCAAGAAGGCTTCTGATCCTTGTGCTGGAAACGAAGGTAACGAGAACTTGAGTGATGTCTTCGAAGGAAGAGATGGAGATGTAGAGTTAGAATCTTGAGATGCTTCACTATGGTCTTTGGTAGCCATTCCGACGTTGGAAGGCTTAGGAGTCTTTTCGACAGGCCCCTTCTTCGAATTGTGGTAAAGCTCTTCGTAGAGCACGCATCCGGACTTGGTTATTATATTAGAAATGAGAACGAAAGGACTGGTTTGGACATCCGTTGTTGGTAGGGGGGTTTGCTCCTGACCAGACGAAAGCAATTCGTTCACAGCAGCTAAATATGTTCAACAAGCCTAGGGCCAATTAGTACAGCCATACTATCAGAACATGCGTAGCGTTTAAGAAAGCTGCGCTCAAACACTGAAGGATTTCGTTACATACAACAACGTTTCTACCAGTATCTGCTCCGATTTTGTTTCCCCCCTCCTTTGCTCAAGCTCAATCAGTCTGTTATCTCCTTGTATTCGTCGTGCGAGGTTTGAAATCGACACAAGGCATGCGCAAGATGGTCTCAAAGAAGTTAAGGAGCCTGTATGACCGAGTATGGCAACTGAGTGGTGACACCACCCCTTCGACCGTTAATGTAGAGAAGCCGCAGCCTCTTCGTCCTAATCGACAGGGGTGTCTCGGTGACAGTCTGATCCTGGATGTGGCTTGGAATTAGTTCGGCGCCTGGCCCCGCGAAGTATAAACAATGGTTTGTTTCTCATGCCAGAGATATGAGAAAACTCCAGACTATCAGAAACTTCTTCGAATGCATGGACATCGAACGTCGATTGAGATTTGTCAAGGAGAATAGAAAAATAATACTTGTGCTACAGTTTGTAATTATGTGTGTATGCTACGAGCACTTTGGACTAAGTTGGCTTTCCTTCGGCCGGACCTAATCCTCAACCTGGCTCGTATAGAGATAAAAATTTTAAATACCATTGCCCCTTGAAAGCCACAGCCACGAGGGCCACTATTGTCCCTACTACGTGGTACGAACTGAGTTATTCCAGACACATCTGTTCTAATTATGTTCACTTTAGTGTCCTACTACATACCCCTCCTAATTTGTTTTGGAGGGACTTTCCAGCGAAATTTACAGAGTACTACCTATGTTGTGGGCTGCTGACCTGTTACGGTAATGAGCTAAACCTGAAGCCTTTTAAGATCTGAATAAGGACCTCTAGGTTACATTTCAGATCGGAACGAGGCACCTCTAGGTTACCTGACAGGCACAGAGTAGGTAAGACTAAGCGTACTTTTGTGGGAGTTGGCTCAAATTTGGTCGACATGGATAAGGCCGCGAATCAGTGGCAACACTGATGACGACAAGAGGGTTAGGGACGATTTCGGTCTCGGATTCGGTAATGACCTTAAAGCTCAACAGGAGGTGGCCAAAATCTTGTGGTGAATGGTTGGGAGAGTCTTCTCACTCTATTATTTTCTTTGGAAGAGGAAGTTCGTGTCCTTCTCTCGCGCAGTGATACACAAGGTATAGGGACAACTAAAAGTATACTACGACGGTAACTAAAGGTACTCGTAGAAGCAGAGGTTGAGCAGAACCATGGATTTAATGGTGGCTCTTCCCTAGCAACGAGCAAAATAGTGCTAGAAATAGTTAGATCTAGCTTGCATTGTGCAGCGAGCAGGGGGTGAGATCAGCCGCACCAGAGGCCCACAAAAGACTAGGCGGCTTAACCAATCTAGAAGGGAAACGGTGTGACTGATGGCAACCCCTCTCGCGGCTCTCATGCAAAGTGAAAGCATGGCACCAACCAAAAGGATGCCCCCAAATTCTTCGGCCAGCTACTATGTACGGATCCCATGCGCCTAGATAGTGATGAGCTAGTGATCAGGAGCTGTTAGTCACCCGCTAATTTTGTTGCCAGATCCAACCCCCACTTGAACCCCCCTATGTTTTCCCATTACCGTATCAGTAAATTTGCAAGTGGGCGGAAGAGACGGCCTACTACGAGCCTGTTTCTTCATGCTGCATCCCGTCTCCAACCAAACATTGGTGTTTACACTCCATTTACCAACCACTCGTTCCAGCTTCAGGTGTACACCATCCATTCGCTTGGCATAAGTCGCATAGTACGGTATCATCGTCCAAAGTTAGAGGCATCTCGCTCTCTATTTCAGCCTTGATTGGACCGCCGGTCGTCCAAGCTGTGGTGATACCCTCGTTGCCTCTGCGTTCCAGACAGGTTCTCGGTCGTCACTCATTGCGGCTTGCTACAAGCAGAAACGTCTCGGTCGACACCTAATCCGCTTCTGTGTGTCCCTTGGTCGCAGTATTGTCGAAAGAGCTGAGGGAAGATAATGGTAGCATTTCTGACACTTCCACCAACATCTGCCAGATAAGAAGAAGCAGATATTTGTATATGCTTGAAATCAAGTAGATACTTAAGGACGGAGTTGAGGTGAGAACCCGAGCTCTTTCCGTGGACTTTGCGGAATGTAATTAGTGGCAAAGAATTCTGACATTCCAGGGGCGCAACTTGAACATCATGTCAGCTCCCAGACGACCTCGTCCGGCTCGCCGTATCGAGATTCTCCTTCCCGCCGCCCTCAAGATATCGAAGCAGGAGCATATCCTGACAGTCCAAACTCTGCGTACACGCCCTCAAAACGGAGACATCGGGAAGAAATACCGCAGCCACTGCCATCTCCGACTCCTCTTGCGGGTGATCAAGATCTCATGATGGCTTCATCAGGAGGTGGCAACGCTGAGTTCGGTCGTAAGAGGTCTTTGATTCGACCCGAGCGAAATCGCATTGACCCCGACCACCCGAATTATCATTATCGAAAGCATGCACAGAAAATGGAAGTTTTTCCCTCTACAACCGGCAACGATCCTATTGTGGAAGACCATGCCGAGTCGCGGACGGTCAGTTCGGGTAGTACAGCGATAAAACCAGAACAAAGCCTGGGAGAAACCTCTTTCACTGAAGATGACCGGCAAGTCAGAAAGCCTGGGAAAATCGAGCCAGTTGGTCGAAAGCATCCCCAGAAGAGGCTGGCCAGAAGAGAAAAGAAGGAGATGACTGTAGAGGAGAAGCGGCGGCAGAAGGAATTGGACACCATCAGGCCTCCAAGCTTATGGAATGTCTACTGCGCCATCGTCACATTCTGGTGTCCAGACTTCGTGCTACAGTGTTTCGGCATGCCGGCCAAGGCACAGAGAAGAGCGTGGCGAGAGAAGATGGGACTTCTGAGCATCATCCTTTTGATTTGTGCATTCGTAGGCTTCCTGACATTTGGGTTTACGCAAGCCGTTTGTGGAGCACCAGGGCTACGGCTGAAGGTCAACAAAGTGGACCGTGGTTATATGATCCTTCATGGTTCTGCTTATGATCTTTCAAGATCACAACATCCTGCTGCCAGAGGAATAACGCTCAACGCGAATGTGCTCTACGATTTACCTCAAAAATATGGTGGTCAGGACGGCAGCTTCTTCTTCCAGAATGTGAATGGAGCCTGCAAAGGTCTCATCACCCGTGCTCCTGGCTCTGACGTGCCTACCAACAGTGAAGGCGACTTGGCGTGGTACTTTCCTTGCACATCATTCAATCAAGACGGCTCGAGCAAGCCAAACACTACGATACCATACTATCTTGGGTACTCCTGCCATACCACAGGGAAAGCCCGTGATGCATTTTACGGGCTTAGGAGCTCTGGGGAGGTCTATTTTACCTGGGAAGACATTCGTAATTCGAGCCGAAATCTGATGGTTTATTCGGGAAGTGTGCTCGACTTGGACCTACTAGATTGGTTCAATACAAGCCAAGTGGCCTATCCTACACAGTTTGACGAGCTTCGAAAAAACCCCGCAGTGAAAGGGGTCGACATCACCCTCGCTTTCCAGACAGGTCCAGGAAAACGGATGGGCAAATGTCTTACAGAGATCATTCGAGTCGGCTCCATTGATACCGAGACGGTTGGCTGCATTGCTTCAAAGGTTGTTCTCTATGTTTCTCTGGTCTTCATCCTCGCTATTGTGTTGGTCAAGTTCTTCCTGGCTCTTGCTTTCCAGTGGTTCTTCTCCCGAAGGTTTGCAGCATCCAAGACATCACAAGTATCCAATGCAAAGAAAAGACAGAAGCAGATTGAGGATTGGTCTGATGACATCTACCGACCTGCTCCTCGTCTCACTGATCCTGCCAGTACCATAAACGGTTTGGATCGACGCAGTAAGCGTGGCAGTGCTCTATTCCCGCAGACATCTAGGTTCACAAGTCCATATGCAGCGGATCGCAGCAACAAGACAAATCGTACTCCGCCTACGACAATGGCGAGTCAAAGTTCAGCAGCTCGTCTAACACAGGCACCCTCCATCTATCAGCATAGCCGCAGTCAAAGTCAAGGAACACTCGATGTTCCTAACAGAGCAAGTGTTGCAGCAAGCAAATCAAGCTTAATGCTCTCCAGTCAAGACCAGAGGTATTCGAGCGTCATGACGGATCTTGATGGACCAGGACCGCAAGGCTTTATTCACGAAGCTGTGGTACCTCAACCACCTCCTGAGTGGCAGCCGTTTGGTTATCCTTTAGCACATGCTATCTGTCTTGTCACTGCCTACTCAGAAGGTGCTGAAGGCTTGAGGACCACACTTGACTCCATTGCCACGACAGATTATCCTAACAGCCATAAAGCCATTCTTGTTGTCTGCGACGGTATGATCAAAGGCAAAGGAGAAGAGCTGAGCACGCCCGAGATTTGTCTTAGCATGATGGGCGATCATGCCATTTTACCTGAGGATGTTAAGGCTTTCTCGTATGTGGCCGTTGCTAGTGGATCCAAGCGTCACAACATGGCCAAAGTTTATGCTGGGTTCTATGATTATGGCGAGACATCAGCAATCCCACCGGAGAAGCAACAGCGTGTTCCCATGATGGTCGTTGTGAAGTGCGGTACTCCTGATGAGTCCGAAAAGAGCAAGCCTGGAAACAGGGGCAAACGAGATAGCCAGATCATCCTCATGTCTTTTCTCCAGAAAGTGATGTTTGACGAACGTATGACAGAGCTGGAATTTGAAATGTTCAACGGACTGTGGAAGATTACCGGCATGTCGCCAGATTTCTACGAGATTGTACTCATGGTGGATGCGGATACAAAAGTCTTCCCGGACAGCTTGACACATATGATATCTGCTATGGTCAAAGATCCTGACATCATGGGCTTGTGTGGTGAAACCAAGATCGCGAACAAGAGAGCTAGCTGGGTGTCTATGATTCAGGTCTTCGAATACTTCATCTCCCATCACCTTTCAAAGTCCTTCGAGTCCGTCTTTGGAGGTGTCACCTGTCTTCCTGGATGCTTCTGCATGTACCGAATCAAGGCACCGAAAGGTGGTCAGAATTATTGGGTACCAATCCTCGCCAATCCGGATGTTGTGGAACACTACTCGGAGAACGTGGTCGACACCCTACACAAGAAGAATTTGTATTTGCTTGGTGAGGATCGATATCTGTCGACTTTGATGCTAAAGACCTTTCCGAAACGAAAACAAGTTTTTGTACCGCAGGCAGTCTGCAAAACAACAGTACCGGAACAATTCAAAGTCCTTCTCTCGCAGCGACGAAGATGGATCAACAGCACGGTGCACAATCTGATGGAGCTGGTACTGGTTCGAGATCTCTGCGGCACCTTCTGCTTCAGTATGCAGTTCGTGGTCTTCATCGAACTTGTCGGTACCCTGGTCTTACCTGCTGCCATCACATTCACCTTCTACCTCATCATAATATCGTTCATCAGAAAACCAGTTCCGGTCATTCCGCTTGTTCTGCTTGCACTTATCTTGGGTTTACCAGCCGTGCTGATTGTACTTACTGCGCATCGCTGGTCATACGTCGTCTGGATGCTGATATATCTGCTCTCCTTACCAATATGGAATTTCGTTCTTCCTGCCTACGCTTACTGGAAGTTTGATGATTTCAGTTGGGGGGAGACGAGGAAGACGGCGGGAGAAAAGACGAAGAAGGCGGGCATTGAGTATGAGGGCGAGTTTGATAGTAGCAAGATCACCATGAAGAGGTGGGGAGATTTTGAGAAAGGTAGGCTGCCACCCTTTCTGTTCCTGATGCGAGTAATTCACTAACATGATTGGCAGAGCGAAGAATGAGAGCACCTGGAGGTGGAGCAGGGTGGTCACAGCAATCAAACACAATGACAGGCTATTCGCAAAGTTATGGTTATGAGCCTTACCATGACTATTGAATTGGCCAGGTGGTCACTAATGTCGTGTATCAGTATTTGGCATTTGATGGAAGCAGTTCTATGCATATGGGTCTGGGGTGTGCTGATCTATTATCCACGGCCATGGCGTTCAAACCATTGCACTAAAAGGCAAGTCTGTCAACAGCGGAAAGGCTGCTCATTGTATAACGGGAGTCGAAATGGATTACACAATCAATACACACACATTACTGGCTATGATGATGTGTTGAGGTCCTTAAATCCTTATTTTGCGATCTCAATTTCCTGGGTACCCATCACTTTTCAAGGCAAGGTGCCTACACAGCTCTTCAAAGGATCGACTCACCAAACTGGTTCATTGTCTGAAAAACTCCCATAGCCTAGGAGTATACATCAGTAAGACACCATGGTCGTTAATCACACTAAATCCTTAAATTGTTGCAAGCCGGATGGGTGTAGATTGAAAGCTATAGACCGTATGAACGCCATCGATATCCCGCAGACAACCTGTTTCAGTGCAACAAGAAAAGCAAGAAGCAATATTTAACACTAACCAGATACATGACTGAGGCTTGGTCCACCATTTCCTTCTAGGCTGTTGCCATCGATTCCATGCCACTGCCCTCGTGACTCTTGCAAAGCAAATTAGCACATCTTATTTTATCACCGGCTTTTCCCTAAGTGCGAGCAAGGGGATAGACACCATTTCCAGACAACAGTACCATCGATTCCTTGGATAACGAAAGGTTCAATCTCATCATCCTTCAACCTCATTCTAGCACTAACTCAAGCAAAAATAACTTTTCATCTGCAAATGACAGAGATGTGCTGGAATGCCTCAAATGCGATAACAATGCTGAAACCACGAGCGTAGTCGACTAACAACCGAGTAAAGGTGAACGTGAAGTTGTCTGTTCAGCTGGGTCTTGATTGTGCAGAAGACCAAAGGCTTGTAGATGCTTCACACGAGAATATCTTTGTGGAGAAACGGAAGACCTGTTCCGTCTGGGAGTATGTATCATCTCTACTGAGATACTTGAAAAACAGATCAGTTGGCGCCGTTGGTCAAATATGACTATGTAAATGAAAGAAATATGAAGGTCTCGGGCGGTTGAGGTTGACTTTTGGCCCCCAAACTTGGATAACAGATGCAATAACCATGTTTGGCGATCTTTCCTCGGCTACAGATGGCTCCACTCGTCATTTACTTTTGCGGACTCACGTTCACCAGTCCATCCTCGGTGTCAACAACACTCTCACCCACCAGCTACTGTCTTCGTATTGCATGATGGCACCGCTGAGTCAAGCGTCCCTGGTATGTTGGGCACGACAAGAATGAATAGACGTAAATAACCAAAAACTTACAGCAGGTTCTTGCTCGGCTACGAGGATATGTTCCACCATCCACAAGTTGGGCCAGCATGCCATTAAGTAGGCGTGCTGCCGTGCTCATACTGCTGTTTGCGGACCCGCATGGAGCTCTGCGCGTGGTACTTACTATGCGATCCAGCACGCTCAAGTCTTACTCTGGCCAAGCAGCATTGCCTGGTGGCAAATCTGAAGAAGGCGAAACAGCTTTCATGACGGCACGTCGTGAGGCCGCCGAAGAGATTGGCTTACCCATGCAAGAATCTAAGCTGCCACCACCATTCAAGGTGGAGCACCTATGTGAACTCCCGACCAACCTGGCCAAGACGGAATTGGTAGTACGACCCTGTGTAGCATTTCTGCATTCTCACGACGAACGCACGGGGCAGGATGCGAACGTCACAGAAACGCTCATCCCAAGACTTGACGCCAAAGAAGTCGCTGCAGTTTTCTCAGCTCCTTTTCATAATTTCCTTTCCTCAAAAGACGATCCTACGCAGTCCAACCTACCCGGAGAGCCCAGTGACTGGTATGAAGGCCAATGGACGGATTGGCATCAAAGCCGTTGGCGCATGCATAACTTCTTTGTTCCTGTCACCAATCAGGCTATCACACTACCAAAAAGAACAGAGGCCCAAAGAGCTGCAGCGGATCACTTACGTTCCCTTGAACGATATCGGGTGTTTGGTATGACTGCACGGATCTTGGTTGATGCGGCTCGGCTGGCTTATGCAAAGGAGCCTGAATTTGAGCATAATAGCCATTTCGGAGACGAAGACACGATTCTTCGCTTACGTCGAATTGGCCGCTTGGGAGCTTTGAGAAGAGATGGAGATGAGCTGACCAGGGATGATCTTCGACGCGCCGGTAATCTGTGATTTCTACCAGTCATCTCTCCTACAATGCAAATCTCGCCATCCATAAAAGATGCAGATACCCGGAGCCCATATTGTGCGGCCTATGCATAATCCCAGTTACACTCGGTACTCCACGCCATCATTCAATAGTGCTGCAGAATGCTCACGACACCTCCGTTTAGTGGTAGCTAACCCTTGAATAATATACTATCCTTCCAGGTTCGCCGCTTTGCCGGATCCGGCTATGACTTGACATTGGCCTCGTGAATGACAAAGGTGCCTTTGTTCAAGTTTAACATGACCAAGAAAAGCTACCGTGGTACAGTCATGGACTCCAAACCGTCGACAGAGAAATACCGCAGAGGGCGCAAGACATCAATCTTTGCTAAGCATATAAGGGTCTCATTCATCGAGGTCATAACAGTGGTTCACAAGCACGCTCTGCCGAATTGAAATAATGCTTGGACCACCTCGATCACCCCAAAGGCTTCCACCTCCCCCATCGCCATCAAGGTCGCTCAAAGGCATGGAGAAGGCCGTGCCACCCGAGACACGATCATCTAGCCGATCGCCATGCTCTCCAGCGGCGGACATTAATAAACCTTTACCGCCTCCAGCGTCGTCGGCCAGGATATCACCATTCTCTCTAGTGCCGTCGTCTAGGACGTCACCATTCTCCCCAGCAGCAGACAAGGACAAGCCGCTACCCGAATGTCCTAGAAGAAGTTCTAGTGTCTATAGTGCTGATAGCGGGTACAATGGAAATGTTGACAGCTATTCAGCTCACAGCCATGAGCAGGAGCAACCCAGGCCCTTAGTCATACAGCCGATTGCATACAAAGAAACCATTTCGGCTCTTCTTCGTCGTCGTCTAGAAGATCCCCCATCTCCAAAGTCAATTCCTTCTGAAAAGAGCGTTGGCACACTGGCTTCCCAGACTTGGCCTCAATCCGATCTGGTCTCTCCCGAATGGCCAACGATGTCGGGCATCACAGCGCCATCAGTTGCTGACAGTCGAAGCGCGCCAAGCTTTAAGGAGTTTTCAACAAATCTCCGAAACAAGAGACAGCACGTCGTTGAGGCGACGCCTTTACCGCGGACATCTTCACCTCCACCGCAAGCGTCTTCTGATTTCCGAGCAGTCTCGTATGAGTCAACTAGATGGACTCCAGAGATTTCACCAAGGACCTCGGACGTCATTGACGGGAGTTTGGTACCTGCTCCACTGGCTGTCGGGAGAAATAGAGATACAGTACGAGAAGTTGTACGGATAACGAACGACTTGGAACCGCCCGTAGGAGAAGAAAGATCCCAGAGTCGATTCTCTTCCTCATCTGATGACTTCGTGATATACACTGGTGTAAAAGAATCCGTCATAGCCTATGTGCGCCAGAAGATGCAGAATAAACGTGACAGTTCCAAGAAAGAAAGAAAAAGAGTCATGTCGGCGGCATCTGCCAAATACCCAGGCATGATGACGGCAAAGGAATATGATCGCAAACACTCAACTGTGTCGAGGAAGTCCAGCGTCCAGCAAGGATTTTCATCCGTTTACGATAAGATCAGTAAGCTGTCGATGTCATCAGGTCAGAGCAAAGAAGAGGAACAGCAGCCACGAGGTCGAAAAAAGCAACTGGCAATCCCCACGAGTGCATATCAGAAATATGGAGCAGCGGTATGGGAAGCACCGAAGCGGGGCAAGAAGCCGAAACGGTCTTCTGCTCCTGCGAAGACGCTGACGAAGAAGGATAAAGACGGTCAGGCACAAAGGCATCCCAGCATTTCAATCAGCCCGACCGAAGTTATAGGCGCTTTCAAGAATGGTCGAAAACAAATGATCCATGTTCTCGATGACACGAAGCACAGACTGAAGCGGTCCGAATCGGAGAAGAGGAGAGATGCGCTGAAGCAGAGTATCAAGCTTGTCGGACCTGCTGACCATGTTTGGAATGGAGGATGAGTTGTGAGCTCTGATTGTTCTCTGCTGATCAGATCTTGGGCGGGTAGAAGCATGAATGTAATGCTCTCTGGAAATCCACTAGACAAGGACTGCACTTAGTCTGTCCTCCCTTCCCATGTTGTACAGTAATCTTGAGTTAGCTACATCATCTATGAAGCGTCACACACTTTGAGCTATCATCTATCATCGCTATCATCGCTATCCTCGCAAGCCTGGTGTCAGTGGTGCGAGTGTGGTATCACAAAAGCTGATCATCAGGACCACAGGAGCCCTTCTTGGGGAACCAGCCCCTAAAGTAGCCCCCCATAGCCGTGATGCCACCTATGGCGGCACTTAACCGAATCTGTTTCGGCGGCTACCCGATCGGGCATGCCACCTCACGCCGCTTTAAGCTCCTAACTTTTTCAATGGAGGGAAGGGAGATCCTGCTAATGTTTTTCAGTGGCGGCAGTCAGGACAGGGTGCATCACGAGTTACGGAACGACATTGCAGGCACGGGCTCTGCTTTTTGAAGCGTCTCCGCGCTTGCTACTGATGTACCTGGGACCGATCTGAAGCCTTCGTAAAGTTTGAGATACTCTAGGATCGATAACGGCTGGTTATAGAGTATGTAGTATCGATAATCGAGTACAGTTACGAGCTTACATGAGCTGGCTCCCGCGGCTGTGGAGATAGGGCCTGAGAGCACTTCCTTAGAGGGTGCTACCCTTTTATGGGGCTATGTAAGGAGACCAAGCATGAAACGATTCTTGATAGACCACAGTGGGCCGATTAGGACCATGGTATTTTGGATTCTCGAAAGTGACATATTCTTGCTCCTGCTTCTTGTTGGTTTTTACCGCGTCGTAGAGAAAAGTCTCTGCCTCCTCCACCGACCTAGAACTACTTACTGGTAACTCTCTAAGTAGGGGAAAGGTCGACTCTCATTCCTCATGGCTCCAGTGCAGCATGGCCAATTCACTCTTCGACGCTCCAAACGTACCTATCCCTTGTGCTGCGTTTTGGATCCCTTTTAGCGTGCCAAGAATTTTAGCATCATTTCGCCGCAACCACCTCAAATTTCTATCCTCAAATTCTGACGCTCAATAAGGCTATTTTGACATGATACCACGCAAATCCCAGCGTGTGCGCAAGCCTGTTACTATTTGGGAAGAGAAAAGAGCGCCTTCTCCAGCTACTGACCCTAAAATCACGAAAAAAAAAGCTCGAAATCGACCAGAAACTGCGTTGCGCCCTGTCGCAACTGAGCATCTTCCTCTCTCCTCCGAATTCGACGAAAATCATCTCCCTGAGCTCCCTGCGTACGAACCCTTGCTCAAATTACGCTATAAATCCTCTGAATCGAGCGCTACGGGTCTATCTGAGCTTCAAACGTTCAAAAAGCTGTTTTCGCAGGCTGTGATTGATATAATTGTCGA